TAAACACTCCAAATATTGTTAGACTGAAAATCCTTTTCACTGCAATCTCCTGACCATTTGATAGAATTCCCTGCAGACACAGTTTAGTAATATGATTATTAATCAGTTTCCCGTACACAATACATGCAGTTCCTGAGTAATTTGTATTACCTTGTAGACTTGGCAATAACCACCTTCGCCTATCATATTCCCTGAATGAAAATGATCTGTTGCATTAGCCAGTGCCTTGTAACTGTAAAGCGGCAGAACTTCAGCTAGTGATGATGACATTTTACCCTTTTGCTTTTTACCTGATTTGATTATGAACGAAGTCTATGTCAGTTAAAGTTCTATTAAGAATGCCCTCCTTTAATAGTGAGTGCCATCGTCTCAAAATTACAGGATGAATTTAAATGAGTGACTTAGGAGCAATTGACTTATTTAACATCGTTGTTCTTGAAGGCTAGTTCACCTTTTTTCTCCATCCTTATTACATTAATATCATTAAAAGCATAAAAATGATACTACCAGTTCTACAAGAATGCAAAAGTTAAGTGCATGATTTGCATAACCTTTTATAGTTAAAAGTGCTGACGAAATAACTAAGGTCAAACCGTTAACATTTAACAATGCAAAATTCAACAGATCACATCATATAAGCACACGTGCTGAACACTTCAGCAGAAAATTACGCTACAAATCTGAACGGAACTTTAAGACTTCTAACCAATAAGAATGCTGAGCTGTGTTCGGCTTGCCAAAGTTCTAATCAAGTACATTGAATGGACATCGGTCGAAATCATGGTTTATGTGCAAGAATCAAGAATGTAGGCAGGATATCAGTCAAAATCATGGTTTATGTATAAGAATGTAGTTAGTTGCTTCAAACTCATATTATGTGTGATTTATTAATAAAAAAGAATGCAGATGTGGATACTGAATCGATATGGAGTTTTAACACTTTGTCTATGATAGTAAGACCATGAAATGAGAAAGCTAGGACTAGATTGTTCATCAAATGTCTAGCTAGGTCTACGTTTATTTGGTTGTTCATCAATTAAGGTGTGAGAACCACAATTATGTTGTAATACCAAACCTTCTCTGTTCATAGGCTTAGATCTATTAAGCACTGCTTTCCATGGCCAGCCCCATAACAATTTTCGGGCTGGAGGATAGCCTTGTCCTCTAGTCGGTGAGCCAAGAAGTTCGGCTGATGTACTTGTGATTCCTTCCGTCTGTGGAGATTTGGCACTCTCCTCAAGTACTTGCAGTGACTCGAGAGTTCCTTCCCGGAAAGGCTGGCCAACTACCCTGGCACTTGACGCAGAAATCATAGTGCTCTCCTGCTGCTGCAACGCCTGCTCGAGACTCGCCACCACTTGAGCCATTGTGGGTCTTTTCTTGGGCTGGTGGTGCAAGCAGTTTTCAATAGATTTCACAAATTCTTTTAAACTGTTTAATGAGAACTTCCCCTGTAGACTAGGATCAACAATTCTATCCACGTTTTCTTCTGCAATACATTCACGGAAATATGATACAAGATTGTGCTGTTCTTCTGGAGTTCCATTGTCCACTGCAGGCCTCCCTGCCAAAACTACCAACAAGACAACCCCAAAGGCATATACATCACTCTTTCTCGTCAATCTATGAGTTGCAATATAGTCTGGATCACAAAATCCAGGAGTGCCTTTAACTTTTGTGCTAACATAGCTCTTCGATTGGGTTAACCTTTCAAGTTTGGACAGTCCGAAATCGGAAATCTTTGCCACAAAATTCTCGTCCAACAGAATGTTTGAATCCTTCACATCACGGTGTATGACTCCATATTCAGTGCCATTGTGGAGGTATTCCAGTCCACGAGCAGCACCAATGCAGATTCTAAGCCTTTGCTCCCAACTAAGAGGAGCAATATCATTTCCCTTTCTGCTCATTTTGTAGAGATTATCAGCAAGTGTGCCACGAGGGATATACTCATAAACTAGGATCATCTCCTGGCTCTCATTGCAATAGCCGATCAAAGAGACAAGATGAATGTGCCGGAGCTTGGAAAGTGTTTCAATTTCAGTCCAAAACTCATGAGCTCCTTGTCGGGAGCTCCAATGCAATCTTTTCAAGGCAACAATTTCTTGAATGGCAGGGATGTAAGCTTTATACACTTTGCCAAATCCCCCCCTTCCAATAACAAATGCATCGCTAAAGTTTTGTGTTGCCAAAACTATCTCAGCGAGTGAGAAGCAACGACAAGCCGGCTCAGTTGTGGCTGCCACTGTGTCATTTTTCAGGCAAAATTTTGCTTCCCAAATTCTTGTCAAGTGGTACACTAGGACATTGACTAAAATAACGAGGAGTGTCATACCAGTCGTGACAACATTGCTATGGCCAAAAGCTAAAAACATGTTTCTAATCTTCACGCCTGAAGGGGTACAAACTGTCATTGGAGTTGCAGGATTTGAAATTGCTAGACTGTTGTCGAGGTTGCTCAACTTGAAGATCTCTAGTCCATTAAGGAGTCCAAAAACTAATTCATTAGCTGATTGCAGGGCAATCAAGAGATCACAACTGCTACCACCTTGGTCACCTTTCATTTTGACCATGTAATCCCTGTATACTGGAACCCCATGGCTGCCACTCCATCTAATCACATCAGCCTTTGTCTCTGCTATCTGATTATTTATAAGGAGACTGAATTCCCTTAACTCACTCTGTGCCATTTCATCATCAAGCTCACAGAAGTGAAGCCTTATCAAGTATCCAAAGCCCAATTCTACGGGCATTTTCCATGTAAAGTTATATATCTGGTCTCCTTTCAAGTTTCCTGCTGCTTTCCAAGAGGTCTGGTAAAGTTTTGCTGGGGCAACAAATGCTGGCATGTTTGTAGTATATTTAATCCTAAGTGCTGGATGATGGACTCGATGAGCACCGGATTCTACCAGGTATTTAGTGTCCTCATTCCATTTTCGAAACATTCCAAAATCTTCTGCCGATGACACAGAGCTCCCTCCAATGTTCAACCTCTGTATGACTTCAAGCGCAGTGCTATTGTCAATACTAAAGAATCGATTTTTCTGACCAACTATAGGGGCTCCTGAGTCACGATCAGAGGTGTAATAAAGTCCAGCTGGCATTGAAATGATCTCAATGCCATTTACAAAAGCATGTGTACTTTTTGACTTGCTATTCAGATTCAGAGAAGGAGAAAAAGTTATGTTCAATTTTGTATTTTCTTCTACATTCAGACAGAACTCCTTAATAAGGTACTTGACACCTGAAGTTTCAGCAGTAATTGAGGCACTGAAATCCCTGAGGAGGGTAAAAGGGCCAGCTTTGACAGTGAAAGAATCTATAGAATTTTCAAAACCGCGATATGAGGCAGGGTAAAGATGTAGGCGAATGAATTTCTGACCTGGACTGACTTCAAATGAATAGCCGAATTCAGTTGCAGAGACTCTTGAAGTCTTGTACGGAACAGGGTCAATTGGGAATGGCTTTTCAGCTGCAGTTGAGATTCTTGATTTGCCAGACAGGAACTTTAAGGGGGCATCTCCAATCCATTCACGGCCATCAAGTGCGGTTGAGTTGCCATTAAAGCCACAGTTAATAGCAGCATCACTTATGTAATGTACAGCAGCAGCTGGAGGATTAGCACTCCTCATGAAAGCTATAAAATGGTGATGACAGAGCAAGAAGACGAACGACGTAAACAAACTAGCAACCAAAACTAGTTTAAGATGCATAGCTTCTCGTGGTTGATCAATGGCTCTCCTTTTACTATTTTTGGTATCTGTCCAGATGATGATTTCGCTGAGAGTAAAGAGGAAATCTTGCTGCTGTGGTGGCTTTTCCAATTTCTTCTTGGCTGATTATTTTACAGCAGTCAAGACTTCATTGGGAAAATTTAGCACAATTGGCCAGTTGCAGACTTGCAGGATCCATTAATGCTTGCATAGACTCAGTTGATCTGAAGGTCAATGATGAAGAACATCATAAACACAAAAATATTACTAGAAAGGTAAAGTGAGACAAAATGTAATAATAGGCATTACAGAAGGAAGATATTGAATTCTGAACAATGTTAGTCAATGTGAATCAAGGTAAAACATATTTGGTATAACTATTGGAAATTTCCTTGGTGTGTGTGTGTTCCTTGTATTCTACTAGTCATTTGAACGTTAAATGGCGAGACTCTCATAATATGTGCAGTTTGGATAGAAGAAGTGTAGAAATATTAGAGTAGACCATAATACAGATTTGGAAGTTTCAAAGAAAAGATGAAGAAATGGTTAAACAAATAGAAAGTCTGACTTTCAAGTTCAAGAAAGAATTCCCACATGAATTAGAGGGTTGTATAGCGACATTTGTTAATTTTGAAATTATCTTTTATCTCAGTGATTTAATACTTTACTACATAATTCCTTATAATTTAAAAATTCATATATAACCTTCTCATAATTTAGGTTAAAATGTCACCCTTTAACTTTTCCATTAAAACTAACAGTCAATAATAAAAATTCAAAGTTAAACTATTAAATTAATAAATTCACCCTTTCACTATTTTGTTTCTCTTTTCCTTTTCTTTCTCTCTCTTTTTTTTTTTTGGAAAAGAAAAGATGATTTTGAAAACTTATATTTTGACCTACATATCTTAATTTTCTCCAAATACAAAAGTGATGAAAGGGAAATAATACAGCAATTTAGGAAAGGCTATTAGTAGGAAATCAAGAAGGAAATTATAAACTTGAGTTGCAGACGCATTTCTAGGTGATTAGGACTCTAAATTCATGAATCCATGCACAAAATTAACGCCTATTTTATCTTTTACTTTTTGTCAGTTTCAATTACTCAATTAGAATTCTCTTGTTTAACGCTTTAGCAATGGTAATTTTAGTTTACTTTCATTAAAATAGGAAAGGGACAACGCCAGCCACAGTTTCAGTGCTGTTTTTTTGTTATCTAACCAAATGATATAGGCTGGGAGGAGGAGGAGGAGGAGGAGGAGGAGGAACTGAGAGCAGAATAGCCAGATGATGAAATCAGTTGACGGGCTCCCCTCCTTCTTGCCCCCGCTAACACTAACCCCAGCCTCCACTCTCTCCTCCTCCAAACCATCTTGTATTACGCCCTCTTCTTCTACTACTGTTCTTCCCTTTAATTTCCGCAACAACTTTCCCCTAAAATCCCACAGCCCACAATTTAATCTCCGTAAGAATTTCTTGCTTTTGGTCCGGGCGTCAGATGACAACAAAAGTAATAACGGGGAAGACAGTAGCAATCCATTGAGCAAGGAAGGGCTCAAAGATGATAATAATACTGACAGCAACGGAATCGATGGTGATAATGGCGGTGAGAATGGGGAGAACGGGAATGGGAATGGACGGGGGCCGAGATTGAATCTGAAATGGGTTGATCTGCTGTTGAACCCAGACCCGGATAACGTGGCGGCGGTTGGATTGACTGGGGTGTTAGCCTGGGCAAGCGTGCAGGTGCTGTGGCAGCTGTTTGTGATTTCAATAGCAATCTTGCTGGCAGCTCTCAAGTACTCCTTCATTGCTGCCCTCCTCATCTTCATCCTCATTACCCTCCTTTAGTACTACTATTATTGTACCCTTCTCCTCCTCCAGAAGTTTTCATTTCTCGCTTCAGCTTTTGTACTTCTTTTTGTGGATATAATAGATTGTTGATTAACGTATTTTGCAGATGTAATGTTGAAAAAACTGCCTTTTCTGTTCCCCTGTTCTTACTTAGACCAATGCATATGTAAAAGATCTGAGGGTATGTTTGGTTCTCCATAGAATTGGAGTATAGAATTGGAATTGAAACCTCAATTCCAATTCTTGTGTTTGGGTATTATTTTTCCTATAGAATTAGAAATGAATTGCCAATCCTGTAGTGGATGTTTTTTTTTTTCCTTTTTAGATGTGTTGTAATAGTTGTATAAAGTAGGGTAATCGGTAAACTACCAGTCTACAGCAATCAAATACGCATTTGAGGTGAGTTGAGCAATCTCCCATTCCCTGCCTATCATTCCAATCAACCACATACAGATACACTGCCACTAATTCTTTTGCACTTTCGATCACCATATCAAGTTTAGTTAACCTTAATAAAGGTAGAATTGAACTATTGATAATGTATTAGAAAAGACATGAATACGAAACCAACGAGGCAAACAGAAAAATACTGCAGATGCAGAATACAGTGATCTCTATGCAACTTATTTCACATCAAAAGGGATATCTCTATGAAGTTCATTCTCTAAAGGTCAGTGATGCATTATCTTCCCCATGCCCTCTCTTTCCGAAAGTACCATAGCAGCTTGCTCTTGAAATGCCAGATCATACACCCCTTAAGAAAAATGTAAAACCCAAGGAGAACATTCTATTACCATAAAGCAAAGTTTTGGAAGCTGGAAGTGCTGCACACTGAAAAGAATCAGTTGTATTATCATCAAATATGGAATTCAATTGATACATTCTGTGCCTTGAAGTCGGTATCCTTTGACATTTCTGCACCTATTAAACAGCGCCGAAACACCTCCTGTCCGCACTTACAACAACCAAGGCAGGAAATAATCATGAAGCTTTCGTCACTTCCACAGAACTGTAAAGAAAATGAGGAATCCCAAGTCGTTCTTGAATCTGGTTTACCTTGAAGGACTACTAGTTACATAGAAGCTTCAAAGTGCTATCTTAACTACAAATTAGCAGCAACAGCAACCTTTTGTAATTTCCTTGAGAATCACCACTGATTCTTGAACCTTGCCGTCCTTAATGGCTAAATACGAAGTGTCGATATATCTTAATCATATAGCTACCCAAACCCTTTAGATTTTCCTGACAGAATTCATATAAGATCCCTGGATACTCGCTTCTAGCTTCTGGTGGAAAGAGTTCTCAAAATCACTAGAAGCTGTCCTAATTTTCGACAACCGCGAGGCAGCAAGAACCATATTCTCCCCATTTCCAACGTCAATTTCATATAATTCCTCAAAAACCTCCTGAAACTCTGTAACCACCCTCTCATAGAATGACTTGCTGGCAGGAATCACATTAATAATGAGAACACCACGCTGACAGATAATTTCTCTAGCTACCAAAAGAACAGACTTTCTGATAAAATCCAAAGGCGGTGCCGCTAGTGCCCATTCTAGCATCACTTGAATCCAAATCAACCATAACCACATCAAACTTACTATCAACATCAACCTGTCCTTTTAATGCAAGCCTCTGAATCAATTCCATTCCATCACCAACGCATAAATGAACCGATTCACTATGTCTCAACCCAAAATACTTCTTCGCGACGCTTAAAACAACCTCATCTTCCTCCACACCCACAACGTCAAAACCTAATTGATCACTCAAAAATCTGAGCAAGGCCCCTCCTCCAACCCCCAAACACAGAGCTCTAGGCCTAATCCCCAGCGGGTTTGCTCATCCAAATTCGAACTAATCACCACCAGACCTGCCATCATTGGATTCAGATAAGGTTGGGCCAACACTCCATTATCCACCGTAAACTCAACCCCCTCCAATTCATCACCCGCGACACCCAATTCACTGATCGGATGAATCCTGACCTGGGTTTGAATTAAATTCGGCATCCTCTTAAACCTCAACCTTCTCCTAAACTCCCTACCCTTGTTATTTTTGTTACTTTCCAATTCCAGCACAACATTTTCTATTAGCATTTCACCAACACAAGGCCCAACACAAATTTCTAACACTAGACTACTTATCACCTCATCTTCGTAACTCAAGAAGGGTATTTCTAGAGAGCCATTGCTCTCGTCAAAGGCCGATTTGGGCGTCAAAGCCATTAGCAGTGGCAATAGTTTTTCTTCAATTGTTGTTGTTGGTGGGTTTTCGGCGGTTGCGGACAAGGGTGGAGCTTTATAGGAGGTGGGGTGGGAGGGATTATTAATATCATTGTTGGAGATTAAAATGAGGCGGGAAAGATAGGGAAAGGAGAGGAGGAGCTGGAGGTGACCAGTTTCGGTGGAGAACGTCCAGTCTTGTTCGCGTCTGGGTGGGACTAACATGGCCGCAACTAGGGGGGTAGTGCGTATGGGGGAGGGGGAGTCGAGGACGGCGATGCGGGGGAGAGAGGTGTAGAGAAGATGGCTGTCACGGGGACGAGCGGGAAGGAAGAGTGGGTTGGGAAAAGTGAAGGTGATGTATCGAGAAGGGACTATGGTTTGGAAGGTGGTTGGGTCCAGCACAGACATTTTTTATGCAGAGAAATTTCCCAGAATTTAATCAGGCAAATTTTGGGAGAATCTGGGTCCGTTCGCGAGAGAGAGAAGGCGGACTGCCTTTTTGCAGTTGGACCAATATTCACTCCAACAACAGTGATGAATTGTCATCTAGATGCATTCATCTTCAGCACAAAGCAGATTCTTGTTTCTCCTTTTTCAGTATCAGATGTGAAAGATTTGACAAGCCATGGTATGGTAATTCCTTGGTGTCCCTAACTCGAGTTAGGGGGACTAGACCCGGTAATGATTTTGACAAACGGAAATTAGAAATTTTTGGGAGTCAACTCTCCGCCAACTCAGTTGCAGTCTTTAGCGTTTGATCTTTGGCCGGTGCATACATTTACTGAAGTAATATTCTACGCCGTGTTTGTCTACACCAATGCAAACATGCCTGTGCTTCTGTATTTGTGGAAAAGCTCAATATTGAATGCCATTCCACGGACCCTGTCTTTAAATTTTACTGCATTAGTCTCCACAAATATCAATCACAATCCAAGATTTGTCACGTAAACTGAGGCTAATTGCTTAAAATATAGGCAAAAAAAAAAATATCGCACAAATGTATCTCTGACACAACCTATTTCTCATTCTATAACTCAGCACGGCAGCAGAATGAATTCTGCACAATGTCAGAGCCTCTGAAATTTCAGTGCGATTAGCGGCGCAAATTTTTTTTTTTTAAATAAACTTGTCCCCAACCGTGCTGATTGGGCGCGGCCGGGCACGGTCAACAAAAAAAAAAGTGACAGGGGGATGATAGGCCAAATGTTGCACAAAACGGTACATTTTTTTTACTAATCTTTTATTCATAATCTACTCAAATTTAGGCTAATTAGACTACAAAGTGATTTACAAATCTACAAACAAAAAAAGGGATAACCTTAGAAGGGGCAGCCCCCTTTCCCCCTTCCCCACCAGGGAGATGGATGGACAGGAAAAAAAAGAAAAGAAAAAGGACCCCGAAAAATTTCGGCCATGTTTGGATTGCTAGTTTCCGTCGGAAAATATTGTCGTTTTTCGTGATCACATTTCCCTATCACCTTTTTCCCTCACATATATCAAATCGCTACAGTATTTTTTCCATGAAAAATGACGGAAAATGCAATCCAAACACAACCGAAAAATCTGTTCTGAGTTCTTCGAACGCAAAATTACTCGGTAAATTTCCAATTTTCTGTTGCCTACATGGTACAATTACCGCTTGAAGTTTGTACTGCACGTAGTGTTTTCCACTAGATTTTTAATTTTTGTCAAGTAATTTTTTTTGGTCTGGATTGTAACTTCAAGCATGCAGAGGTTTCAGCAATTTGAATCTTGCAGTGAAAAATTGTTATTTCTTGAAGGTGTCTACATTATGAACAAATCCTAAATTTTTTTTTTCCGAAGTAACAAATCCTAAACTCTTGTTCACGGACCTTGGAGATTCCTGCATAAAGTACAGAAATTTCATCAAGCGTGGTTTTATGCCAACTTTGTAATTGGTAGATACTATAGTGGGGATTTGGCCGGGGGCATATGTTGGCACTGCTTGAATTCTGATTGACCCTACTAAATTCATCTCATGCCGAAAGTATGTATATTTTCTTGGCTGTTGGTTATAATCTTGTGCAGATGAACAGATAATAGTTGGTCTAAAATTTAGTTCTTGTACCTCTTGCCACTGATATTTCTTGAGAAAAATTGGCTCATTTAATTGGAGCACTATATTGAGAAAATTGAGTTGTGACTACATCTAATACCCGTGCTTCAAGGGATTCTCACCAAGTTTGGAAAATTCTTTATGCCGCCTCAGTTACATCTGAAGCTGCATCTCCCACATAGAGATGAAACAATTGAATGTACAAACAATGGTTATGGACTGTAATCCTACTTAGCTGTATTCCTCTGCTTTCTATGGACAAGTTTTGGTTAGTTTCCGAACTGGTATCTTTTGCAGTACCCTTCCTTTTATTTGCCTTTGTCCTTATTCTTGGTGATTTTACTTGCAGTTTCATGTAATCTGTGCTGGAGAGGTCGAGGTGCTCTAGATTTCAGGTCAAATCCCCTGACACAAACAAATCCTGCAAAATGATACTTGAATGATATTAGGAAAAAGGGGATGACAGGCCTTGATATCTTCATCAAAGGTAATCAATGAGCAATGGCATAGATTCTTGATGAAAATGTGAATGAGACTTGATAAGCTCCTCTGACTTGTCCATTAACTTATCTTGTAGCAGATCAGACATGAACAAGTTTAACTGCACATGTTAAATGATCTCTAGACACAATTGCTAAATGAAAGAGTATTAGAACTCATTACATGGCCGTTTAGTTTGTAGCTGATTCCTTCTATAAGCATACTGTCAAGTTGTATTGACTAGACAGAGGAGTTTCTGAGCATTATTATATCTGTTCTTAGCATTTAAGAAGCAATCATACCTTTCCAGAAGCATTGCTGAATTACAGGAGTTGACAAGCCTGGAAAACATGAGAAAATCCTTTTGTGAGTCTTTTTTTGCTTTTCACCATTCCAAAGCTTGGTATTGGACCAGTGATTAATTCATATCGGATCAATAATATTCCATTAAACCTCTAAATATGCTCGTGACAGATGTCCCAAAGTACACAGTGCGCCTTGGAAGTTGCCATAGCCAGTCTCTTGGAACATCAATTGGATTCATATTGGATTCATGATCAGCAAACATCTGAAAATAATAAATCATGTGACTTGTAATTTTACTTGCTCACGGTACTCTTGGTCCTGATATTGTATGTACCTTCTTTAGATAACACGAAAAAATTTAAGGACTCCATTGGCAGGTATGAACTCCCTACCATGGCATGCAAGATGTTGATGAGCAGGCAACAAGTGTAACTACTCTCTATCAATAGTTTAGTTACCTCATTAACTTGGAAGTATGTTCCATTTAGTGGGAAGCTACCCCTCATTGCTGTCCTGCATGGTATCTGTAAAAAGGCAGGTATCTTTAGCTAAAAGTAGCACTTGAATCACTTCTCTGTTGATAGTTACTCTGGTTACTTGTCTAGCACATTTTTTTGCTCACCAGAAGTGTGCCTCTGACTGTCTCTGATTTTGCCTCCTTTGTACTATGGCACATAAAACAACTCTTCTCATTGCGAAGTCTGCCTGATCCTTGGAGGCTGCATTTACTTGCAGGAGGTTGAGTTGAATTTGCAGTTTCACCTAATTGAGTGGTTCACAGAATAAAAGATCAAATCATCAATTATGTCAGAGTCAAAAGATGAATTTCAATATCAATTTGGTCTTTTTGAACCCTTGCTTCCTGTTCATCTTGTCCATTTTCTTCTTGTTTTCCATGCATCTTTTTACTTTGAGATATGTAGGATTAGTTTAGTCTCTTTTCCTGGAGCAGTTTTAGGACCCTCCATCGACATTCTTTATGACAACATGAGTCTAAGTTAAAATTTATCGGTAAGGTACATTCTACCTGGACTCCATATTGCCAAAAGGTATGGACTTGGATCATCACGTTCTCGTCTATCCATCTGAAGGTTTAAGAGAGTGGGTCAATACAAATCAAGTTCAGTTGCTGTGGGCAATATTTAAATGAAGAAACAAAAGAGATTGCCGCTAACCCCTTCTAGTAGTGAATGTGTATCTGGAAGTTCATGCCTGCAGCAAATTGGAAGGGTCATACATATTGATATGCAATAAACACCATCAAAGAATTTTTTTTATTCTATTATCTACTAAATTTGAAACAAGAAAGACTCCTTTAACTGTTTAATGAATTTGTCTACTTTGTGCTAATTTATCAGAGTCGGCAGTTGCAATGGCAAGCAGGCAAAAGAGATATAAGCATATGTAGAATCTGATTTTAGGAAGGAAAAAAAGAAGAAAAAATAAATGTTCTGATGCTTCTAGAGCTAGGTTTAATTTCCCAGAAACTTACACTTGGTGCTCCGTTCGTGGTCGACTCACACTCTTTAATTTTGGTGCAGGAATTGAAGCTGCTGATGGATCCAAAGCAACTAAAGCTCTGGACACGTCACCTGGTTGAAGTTCCATATTCTGCACTTGCAAGACACTCTCCACGTTCATTTTTAATTCTTCAAAGCTGTGTTTGATTGTAGGGATTTCATCAGGGTCTTCATAGAACACGTCTTCGATGTCACTTTCTGACACTTCAGAGGATGGTTCTGGTGTGGTTGGTTCTTCAATAATTGGTTCACAGCTGGTCCTAATGTACTGTGATTCCAAACCCTCACTAGTTTCAGTAGGAGGCAACAGCATGGGCTTCACAACTATAGATGCATTTCCATTGGCAACAGAAGTAGTTGAACTGTCTATGCTTCTTTCTTCTGGCGCTGGGAGGGCTAGCCTTGCGCTGCAGTCACATTATTGTTTATGTCATATATTAAATGCATGTGAGGACGTGTGCTGGACTATAGAGCATGGTTGAGTGGTTCCTACCCTCCATTAAAGATGCACAACTATTGAGGTATTTCATGTTTCACTTCTCTCTCTAGAAAGTTGCTTAATTAAAGTTCCATAGTAGGTGATCATTAGTGGAAACACTTGATAAGTTACCTTGCAAAGGCGCTTGCGAAGTGCCTACATTCTGGTCGTAATGGACATGCATTGCAGTTTGGCTTGGTCTTTGTGCAGAAAACCTATGTCAAATTTATAAGTAGACACTCAGTCTTTGCAAACGTTAAAGAGTCTAACAAACTTTGAAACAAATGTCTTTACATACCTTTCCAAATGTAATCATCTGATAGTGTAATTCATATCTGCAGGTTGACTAAAAACTATATTAGTCAAGGGAAATCTGTGGTGGGAAAGTCCCAAGAATGGTTTCATTGATGTGAGGATAATTTCAAAGTGACAAATGTTTCAGGAAAAGATTAAGGAACTTACAAAGTTCTCTGATCCAGCTTACAAAGTCTGGGCCAAAGATATTTCTGGATTGACTCTAGTACGGGGTATCTGCACAAAAACGCAGTTGGTATCCTGCATAATAATTCATTGTGGATATTGATTGGCAGCATCACTTACAGTTCGAGAAGATGCAGCTGCAATGACTCAGGAAGTGGTTGAAGAGGGACCCATCCTAGACGCACAGCAATTCGTCCAACATTTGTATCAACCTAAGAAACCCAAGATCAAGGTTCTTTGTGATAAATTTATAATGCCCTATCAGAAGTAAAATTTATGAATAGTGGATGAATGAACCTTACCAGGAAAGCAATTTGATGGAGTGTTAGTAATCGCACACACTCCACACTCTTCAGTCCCAGACCTCGTATACTCAATAAATAATCCCTGAAGTTTGGTACAATTGAGAAAGCAAGAAAACATGATTGTCTATATCAATTACTACCAAATACTGAAGCTATGAGGATGAATATTGGTCCTTGTCATTCTGTGCTCTTAGTGGATTCTTTGAAGAACTTACTTTGCTTGGTCTGCTGGAACATCCCTCAACCATTCCAGGTCAATGCTGCCATGTTCTGTGACCAGTCTATTGAGGAAATCCTGCAGTATATGGACACAATATCGTCATTGTAAATGTATCAATTCTAATCAAGTAAGCTACAAGAATACATTGGGTTTTATCCCTACCTTGATTCTCTCAGTTAGCATGTTGTTCATTCCTCTTTCCTTGATAGTCTCAGAAATTGTCTGAACATCAGCATTTTGTAGAGCTTCATAGTCCAGCGAGTCCATGGTGTCCTTGTTTCTTTCCTTTTTTTCCACCCTTTGACAATACCTTCTTTCTCAAGCTATCCCAATCAAATGACTTTGTCTTTTCTAGTTCTTGCTTTTTCTTTCTTGCATTTGAGCTCTTAGTGCCCACCCAACTGTAAAAAGCCTTTTATTTATTTTTTTTTTTCCTCTAGCGGCAACAGTTAGCTTAGCCTAATCTACTCCTACTCTTAAGGGGGGACTTACTATTTAAGGGAAGCGACTCTAATGAGTGGGCCAATTGAGTCGGGGGAACCTGACGGGGACTTAACCACCGTCTGACCAGACGGATGCACCACTCACCCGCATGAATTTAGAACACTTCTCAACTTAAGCCTATTGGGAGTTGGTTTACTGTAAAAAGCCTTTTAACAAGCTTCATTAAGTAATCAACTTAAGCCCACTAGGCCAATGCCGATGTCCACTTCACTGCAACCCAATGGCCAACTGCCCCGCTACCGTGATTAGTGACAGAACCTTCTCCATGTTCATTCTCGTTGCTTCTCCTTCGACCGCTTGTTCTATTTAAGGAGGGTTTTGATGGAGACAAGTAGGCCTAGAACGCAGGTTGATTTCTAATCTTTCTTTCTTCCTTCTTTTATTTGTTTGTATGTACTCTACTTGCATCGATATTGTCCAGTGGATTCTACTTCTCAATGTGTTAACAAAAAAGGGGAAAAAAAAGAACTTTGTACCACTATGTTTCAAGATGAAGAAACAAAAGCATTCCATTTTCACTCACTTAAAAAAAAAGGAAAAAGAAAAAAGCATTCCAGTTTCGGGAGGGGGAGTTTGGCGTTTCTGAGGTGAGATTTTCTATTTTCCTGACATGAGTACGTAGTTGAGGTAGTTGTCTTATTGAGCATGTCTGTTATAATGGTTCCTATATGATTTCAGGGTTATAAATCCTATGATGATGAAGAGAGTTATTGTCCAAAATTGGTATTCACTTTGATCCAGTAGCTTGCTAGCTTATTAAATGCACTTCACGACATGCACTGACGTGTTTCATTCATTGAAATCTTTGTCATCAGGAAGCTTGGAGGAATCGATTCGAAACGGAGCTTAAGCGTTTCATTGAAGATGATAAGAAGCATGAGTTTGTGAAGCTACTAAGGAGCCAATCTGATATAGCTCACAAGTATTTTGACGAAGCAGGCCATCCACTGTCATATTTCGTTTTAGGTTACTGCTTGCAGTATTGTGCACTTAATTGTACAGAAGCATTGCTTGGAGGGGAGACTGGTGTAACGCTGAATTTAGATAAACTTGGAACGACTCCACTCCATAGGGCAGCAATTTCATTATCTCCTAAATTAACAAAGTATTGTCTAAAATCTGGTTGGCACTGCGACGGAAAAGATGATAACGGTTTACAGCCTTTAGATGATGCTCTTCTTGGATTAAGGTCAAATTTCAATTATTATCCAAACCTTTATAATTGGCTACTAGGTTATTGCTAATTGCTATATTTCATGTAATTGCTGCAGGAACAGGGTTTTTTGGACTCTAGAACAATCACTGTACTCGTTGATTTTTGAGCTTACTGGAGAGGGAATGGTAAAGAATGTTATTGCCCTTTGTGATGGTTTTTGATGAAATCATAGTGTCCAAATTTGTTTCACACAGTATGGCTACTTATGTCTTATTAGGAACTGCTTTTTCCTTATTTTATTTTTGCCATTTTGTGGCAGATTGAGCCGACCCAGACTATGAGGTTGCTGATAGAAAATACGTCTGAATCAAATGTTTCGGAAATCATTTGTCGTTATGGAACAGAAGCAAAAATAGTAGAGTTGGCCATGTTGCTTATTGTGTCGACAGATATAAAACATATCAGGGTTGACAATCTTTACTTGCCCAGTAATGTTTCCTCAGTGGATCAGTTGACCTTACGCCAATTTGTTGTCAATGAGATTGTAATGCTTGAAAACAAGTTGCGTAATGTTGTGGCGGTTGGCAGCTACAATTTGGCACAGTGCAGGGAAATGAAGAAATCAATGATGTCTACGTTGTTGTTACTTGAGATTTTTCAGAGGACTGGGCCTGAGATCGGACGGGCTGTTAGACGGACAGGTCAAACTGTATGTTGCTCTAGTATTTTAACTCTTTTAATTTTCACTTGGGCAATTAATTTCTACATCATGTTTTTGTTATTTTGGGAAGGAGATTGAATAGTTGTTGCAGCTTAACTTTTACAGGCACAAGCATATGTTTGTCCAAAATGCATGGGTGTAATCTCTTTTGATAGGATGGATAGATTTTTTTTTTTTTATTTTGAAATTCAAATCTGTCATAGCTTGTCATTAGTGCACCAATTCTGATGACTGCAGTATCCCTCAACAGCTGATGCTATTGGATGTGTGTTTGAATGTTCAGACTTTAAATTGAGCAGCCAAGAGACTTCCTATCTTTTGAAGTCAAGCTGTACGCCAATTTCATGTCGTGAACTCTTAACTCTTCGTCTTTTCTTTTCCCTTAGTTTCTGTCTTTCTTTTCTGATTATTAGATGGTGCATCATCTTGATCAGCAATACTGACACTTTAATTGTGTTTCTTGGTTTCTTTCGTGGTCATAAAAGTTAAGTTGGATCTACCAGCAGATAGAGTGCAACCTATTTCAGGTTTTTTGCGTGATCCTCATTTATAAATTGATGTTGCTTGTTTCACAATTGGTTAACAGATTATTTTCGATGTCTACTTCCAACCATGCAGAGGAGCGTCTACCTGGACTCCACAGTTATTCCCTGTCTGGCATACCAGAGCTAGATTCCTTCAAGACAATGGTATTGTAACTTATGAACTGTTCTCATGGGAACATCTGTTCTTGTGGCTTACTGACAAGAAGTCTGTTCTAGATGTTTGCTTTGAATGGTTATTTCCTAATACATTTAGGTTTGCTTTTTGGCATTTGAGCATGTCAAGAGGTGAAAAAATATCAGTAAGCCTCTGTTTTATGAGCTGAAAACATCACTTCAAGTTTGCCTTTAAAAGTTAATTAGATTTTGTCATTTCATTAATCAACATTTTGGGCTTCATTTAAATGGTCAATGAGCTTTTCCTGTCAAATATTGTTCTGTTTTCATATCATACTAGGGTAGGATGGAGAGTTTGGATTACAAATTATGTGTGGTGTTCCTTTCTGTTCTCTTTTACCATGAATGGTGGACTCTTCTCCTGGACAGCAGCTCTGTTGGTGGTGACACGGGTGGAATGAACCCAAGAGAAAATCAGGGGGGGAGGGTTCAAAGTTTTTATTGTTGTTTATATAACTCTATGTGCATGAGTTGGACACACATATGCGGATGCACACATACATCACATAGGATGATTTTTGAGTCATCTGAGCACTTCGCCTGAGTCCATGCAACATGGCTTTTGAAGCATTATATGTGGTGGTTTTACAAGCACTCAATTTAACTTCCAATGTGTGTGTATTTCCGGTAGGTTTGTCTTTTGTTGCAAAATATGTTGATGGCTTTGATCAACCGGGAGCTTTCCCATTTTAGAATTACAACTCAGTTTTTGTTATATAAACTTTATATTAGACAAATTGTAGGTTCTTTAGACATCTAGGTGATGGTCATCAAGTTGTGTTAGATGCTTTTCCAATGTCTACTTCTGAACGCAATGGTGGTTGCTCTGTCATCTATTTGTTTAGGCCTGTGCTCAGTCTTGTGATTTATCAACAAAAAGCTCTTGTTCTGATTTGCTAATGCGAATATCTGCCTGGAGCAAATTATTTTATGTATCCATGTACTCCAAGTAGTTATAGGCTCCTCATTATTTGTCAGCTTTTTCTGCCATCTCATTGCTTACCTAATTTAACTTGTCATCTTTAACAGCCTAATTTTGGGTGGGATGAAACTGATCCTGAGCATCAGAAGCTACTTCCGATGCGCACTGTAATTGAAAAGTTAAGGTAGGAAATATGTATGTCCTTAGTGCTTTCTTAGTGCTAATTCTCATTTGGAATGTAATCTACACTATGACAACACCCCCCCCCCCCAAAAAAAACACAAAAAAAAAAACCCCGGCGGGGGCCTTAAAAAAAATTCTTGGCTCTTTTAGATGGGATGTTACACGGATTTTGTGTCCTTGTCCTCCCGTCCCCTGGTTTGTATCTTTGCCATGTGCATCTGTGGATCTTTCTTGTGCTTTCTTTTGAATCCATGCATTTTGTCCAGTCTGACTTTTTCTTCCCATTTTTCTTAGTTCTGCTGCAAGTGTATGGCAATGGAAACCAAACGAATCCATATTTAAGTTGGTTATGATGCTTTTCCTTCTGAAAATGGTATGTTCTTCTGCTAATTCTGCTTTTGACATGTTACTTTTTTACCAATGCAGTGAGAAAGAGCTAATTTTAGCATCAGTTGTGTTAAATCCATATTTAAGTTGGTTATGATGCTTTTCCTTCTGAAAATGGCATGTTCTTCTGCTAATTCTGCTTTTGACATGTTACTTTTTTACCAATGTATTGAGAAAGAGCTAATTTTAGCGTCAGTTGTGTTAAACTGATTGCAGCTGTGGCAGAAAGAAACTTGGGGGATTGCTTGCTCACTTGCACGGAGCTCAGAGAAAATAAATGAGATTGCTTGCTGGTATGCCAAGGAGGGTAAACTGATTGAGTTGTCTATTATACTAATGGTGGCAAGGGAGAAGGTCATGCGCCCAATTGTCTTTCGGATTAGGGGCGAGAAATCTCATAGGTCCATGACATTTCTACAGTTCGTCAATAGTGAATTGGCCCAAGCAATTGATCTGGAGTGCAGATTAACTGGAAGAAAGACAAAGCTAGAAGAAGAACTGAAAAAGCTATGCAAACAAAGGAAGTTGGTTATGATGTCTGCTCTTGGGCTGCTAGAAATTTTTGAGAAGGCTGGAGCTGCCCTTCAAACATACTTTTGGTCAGAGAGAGGAAATGTAGGTTTGCTTTTTAATTTCATCCTTTTAGTTTTGTTTAGCTTGCTTTAAGATGTCTGTAAAATTCTCATCTACTGGCACTGGTTTTTGTGTAGGTTCTTGAAGTTTTTATTCTTTTTTTTTATTATTAGTTTTTTGGTTGATGATTTGCACTTGTTGTGCTAGAGTTATGTTTGAGTGCATTAGAATTTGCGTCTTCCCTTTCCCCCTCCCCTTTGCAAGGCATAGAGTTTCCCCTTGAACCAAAAAGATTTGCATCTTCTCTGGTTTGTTGCATTTACACTGCCTTATATGGTGTTTATTTTCAGGTGCAAAAGGAAAAAGTTATCAAAGAGGTCTCCGTGCTGCTATCAGAAGCTGGTTTCAACTTAAAAGAAGACATTGAACTGCATGATCCAGTTGAGAGGTCTGTTCTTACTGTTCCTTGAACTCAGGATTTGGTTGCTCCAGTTGCTTCATTCCTCATCTTTGTAAAATTTGTCAATTGCATTTAAATAGAATCAATTCTTTTATAGCACACTTTGTAAGACCTTTGGAGTTTATGAATGAATGAAAAGTTGAGACATACATATGTGATGTAAGTATGCATAATTGTGATAACATACATTTGCATTCATGTATTCAAAGTTCGATGGAGGTTGAACAACAGAATGAGGCACTACAAGATCCACACACGAGTTCCTGTACGTTACAAGGTCGAAACACAGTTGATGGTATGTTGATTTATTTAGTCTAGTCAAATAGTAGGCTGCATGTTGCGCTACCATGTTTGTAGGCCCGGAGTATGTGATGCTTCTCATATTGTCTAATTTTTCACTGTATGCAGAAATGTCTACAGAAAGAGGATGTCAAATGCAACACCTTACAAGGCTGTCTTATGTGTTACCGTGTGGTTTTGTTGAGACATATGTAAGGAAAACAAGAACGATCACCTCTCTAAGTGGCATATGGCTGTCAGAAGTATTGGCTTTTACGTATAAATCAATATCTTGAAATATTGCCGAACCACCATGTGTGTAAATTGGGCATAGGTTTTTGTGGGAGCCCTCGTGAATTTGAAATTTTTATCACCTTTGAGTTGTGGCAGCACAGTTGCATGTAGTCTATGCTTCATGTAGTCTGTCGAGGATGGTGATGGTTTCATCTCTTGAGATCATCAAATCTCATTCAATAGCAGTAAAATATAGTATCATTTTGCCCCTTTTGAGTATGTATGTCTATTAACCAGGAACCAACTGATTTGAGTCATTTTGCCTTTTGCACGTTAATTGGGACGGATGAAAGGGTTCGTGTGGTGACATGAGGAACTTTCTTTTCACACGATATCCAAGGGAGTGCTCTAATTTGCCATCTGGTGCCCAGTCTTTTCGTGCATTTTGGACATCAAAAGACAGCAAAGCCAGCTACTGTACTGGCTTTCCAAAAGCATTGGAGGTTCAAGGCGGTGCTGTGAGAGGAGTCGTCAATTCGCTCGTGCAGAAATTTCCAGCCAGCAAGCGTTTTGCCTCCGTTGCATTAGCAGTCATTAGACATGCTGCCTGATATCGAGTGCTATGTGAAAGGTAATGCGAAACAAGTTCTTTAGAACCTTACCTGGATGAAGTTAATTACTACTTGTAAGCTCAGGTATTTTAGTTTAGGATGTTATGGTGGTTTGTTGATTACTTTTTAGGTCGCAGTCCTAGTAAATTTAGGTGTTTTGCCTCTTGCCTTTGTTCTCCATATGTGCATCTCTCTTTTTCTCACCCTTACACATTCAAAGACAAGCGTATATTGACATATCCTCATCGAATATCTGCAAAATTAGACTAAAATCTATGGGGGTTAGCAGAAATTGCAATCTTGAGAGAGAGAGAGAGAGAGGGGGGGGGGGGGGGGGGGGGATGGATCTCCGATCAGCGGTAAGAGAGTGTGAAGCCACCACTAGCCCAAATCCCAATAGAGAAAATTGCAACGGAATAGAGAGGGGAGATTCTGATGGCTCGTGCTTCGATCTTAATGGTGACTTTCGAGGAACTGGCGGGATTTGGGGAGTTCTGTGTAGCGTGCAATGGAGATTGCTGGTGAATGGAAACTAGGAGGCATAGGCCCCAATTTGATCTAGCGATTTTCACTTGTTGAGAATTAAACCCAACACGAGAAATTAAACCAACTTGTTGAGAATTGAACCCAAGTTTTTTCTGGGAAAATTACTTTCAAGTAAGATGTCTTCCCATGGATGGCATTGTACACCCTACCAAACGGGCCCTCAGTTTTCTGCATTTTCAAACCCTAACTTCTTTGTTTCTGCTTGAAATCCAGCTTCATGCATGCGCAAGTGGTGCAAGTACGACTCCACTATGAAGCTTACAACGCCTTTAATTCCTAAAAAATCAAGCTTTTCTTATAGGCGGCCAAGATAGCAAATTCAATTAATGCATACGGATCGAACATCGTCAATTAATAAGAACAGCAGACTGTCTTGACTCTCAAACTCTCACTTTTTCACCTCTTATTGCAGGTCAGAAATCCTCCCTGCATCCGAAAGATTGTCGGTTCTGGCTTTTATTAGACAGCAATATCATCGATTTCTAAACGTATTTTGATACGGACAGGAGTTCCAATGAATGCCATACATCTTCGACCTGTTGATCCCCAAATGTAATTATCCCAGCATTGTTCCGTGTCAGCTTGCAGCGACATTATTCGTGCGCCTGCACTTTTAAGGCCCTATTGCGATATTCGGATACGTAATCGAGCCTTTTCTTCTAAGAACACCTCTTCTTAATTGCAATGGGATATGGAAGCTTGGGATGAGACTCAAGCTGGACAATCAATAAAGGTGGTTAAGAGAAGTACATTGACAGGAAGAAACCCCCAATCTAGGGGCCCGGGTTTTTTCGGTTGGGGGCGGTGGTGGGGATTGTGGAAGTGGTGATGGATAAGTTAATACTTTGAACTTCAGTCGTGAACCCAAATTCCTCGGTTAACATGTTCATGTCCGGTCAGATTCTAGTGCAGATACTACCACTGAGGGTAGAGGTGTCAAAATGGGTGACTTGGACGGATTTGGATTGGGTAAAATGGATAATGAGTATAAGTGAGTCAACTCATTTATACCCATTTAATTAAATGGGTATAAATGAATAAGTCAAAAAATAAATTGGATAACCCAATTACCCATTTATAACCCATTTATTTTAACTTTTTGTAAACTCATTTAAATTCATTTTTGCAAATTAAGTTATCAATTTATACCACTCTTTGTACCCATCATTAGTTTTAAATATTTATTTATAACGTTCAATAAACTTAATTACCAAATTTTTTTCATTTATACTCTATGTCACAAAATTACCTATTATTTAATAATTAAATAATAAGAATATAAAATTTTGAACTAAGTACTATAAAAATGAATATAAAAACTTAATCCAAAAATTTTGAACCCCTAACATTTTTTTCATATATAAATTTAAAATTTCATTTTAGAAAGATAAGAAAATAGGCTAAAATTTATTATAAATTAGTAATGCTAAAAAATGAGCAGGTTAACAAACTAAGAGAAAATAAAATAATAAGATAAAACCAATAAATAATTATTATTATTAATAATAATAATGAAACAAAAGTAGTTAACATCATGATAAAATGAAAAATTTGAAAAAAAAATGGGTGGGGGAAAAGAAGAGACTTGGGAGAAAGAGAATTCTAAATGGGTTAATTGGGTTTTATGGGTTACCCAATAATACCCATTTATTAAATGGGTATTATTGAGTAATCCATTTATACCCATATATAAAAATTTAAGATATCCATACCCATCTATTCATGGACGGGTATGGATAAATTTAATTAAGTGGGTTGATTTGCCACCTCTAACTGAGGGGGCAAAATAAGAAAACACCAACAAAATGAAACAGCACCTTAAATCCTCAAATAATTCAACTCCTACAGATACGCAGAGTACTAATATTTTAAGCAGAAAGTCAACTGCATCTTATATCAGGCAAGAAACAATCTACCCACTCTCCATAACCAGCTCTCTGCAATCACTTTGATGATGCCTTGGAATCCACTATAACCCACCATAACCACGCAAATTCTGCAATATTTCAAGAACCCCGTCAAAAATACAAAGCAGGCAGCATCACATATATAGATATGCATCACATAACTCAAAACAGAGCTTTAGAAACCCACAAAATTGGCTAAACAACGTGCGCGTCGAAGTCCAACATGAAACTAAAGAATACCTAAATCTGCCAGGACTGCGACCCAAAAAGTAATCGACCAAACAACCATAACACCCTAAACTAAAATACCAGAATTTACAAGGAACAACCTTTATCCGGGTTCTAAAGATCATGTTTCACATTACCTTCCGTTTAGCATTCTATGAGGCTCGTCTTATGAGTTTCTTGGCTGCTAATGCAACGGAGGCAAAACGCTTGCTGGCTGGAAGTTTCTGCACGAGCCAATTGACTCCTCTCACAGGTTCCACTTGAACCCCAAATGCTTTTGGAATGCTGGTACAATACCTGGCTTTACTGTCTTTGGAAGTCCAAAATGCACGAAATGACTGGGCACCAGATGGCAAATTCAAGCACTCCCTTGGATATCGTGCAAAAAGAAAGTTTCTCATGTCATTGGGCCTACCACATGTAGCCTTTCATCCGAAATAACATGCAAAAGGCAAAATGGTTCCAAATCAGTTGGTTGAAAAAAATACTCAAAGGGGCACCATATTTGCTACAATTGAAATTGACATTTGATTTCCGCGGATGAAAGAATGACCATCCCCAACAGATTTACATGAAGCATAGACTACATGCAATTGTGAAGCCACAAATCCAAGGTCATGATAAATTCAAATTCATGCAGATTCCCATAAAAAATCTATGCCCAATTTAATTGCATGGTGATTCTGCAATAATTTAGTCACTACTTCAGACGGCAATAGGCCGCTTAAGGAGGTGAAAGTTCTTCTTTTCCTTACATATGACTCAACAAAACCACATGGCAGCACGTAAGATTGTCTTGTAAGGTGTTGCCTTTGACATCCTCTTTCAGTAGCCATTTCTGCGTTCAGCGAAAAGTTAGACAAATGAAAAGCATTACGTATTCTGGGCCTATTAAACAGATCAACGTACCATCAATCTTGCTTAGATCTTGTAACACATCAGAACTCTTGTGTGGGTCTTGTAATGCCTCGTTCTGTTGTTCAACCTCAATCGAGCTTCAAATACCATGAACAAAAAATGTATGTTATCATTAAAATGTGTACTTACACCGCATGTGTACGTCTCTCCTTTTCCATCTTTATAAACTACTTCAAAGTTTACTACGTTTGCAAAAATATCATGAAGTTTGTATTATTTCAGAATTGATTCTACCCAAATGCAATTGATCAATTTGTGAAAGCGGAGGATGTAGGAAGAAACAGGAGCAACCAAATCTTGAGTCCCAAGGAACGGTAAGAACAGACCTGTCAACTGTGTCATGTAGTTCAATTTCTTCTTCTTTTAAGTCAAAACCAGCTTCTGATAGCAGCATGCAGACATCTTTGATAACTTTTTCTCTTTGCACCTAAAAATAAACACCATATAAGGCAGTGTAAAGGAAGAAACCAGGGAAGATGCAAATTCCAATCGCTCAAACATAACTCTAGCTCTACACTTGTGAATCATCCCAAAAAACAAAAAATCTGCAACAACCCATACATAAAGTCATAAACCAGTACCAGTAGACGGGGAATTTATGCAAATTAACAAATTGTTACATTTACACAGTTTTAAGAAGTTCATTCAAACAACAGACATCTTAAAGCAAGTGAACCCAAGAAAAACAATGAAACTTAAAAGAAAACCTACATTTCCTCTCTCTGACCAAAAATATTTTTGAAGGGCAGTACCAGCCTTCTCAAAAATTTCAAGCAGTTCAAGAGCAGACATCATATTCAACTTCCTTTGTTTGCATAGCTTGTCCAACTCTTCTTCTAGCTTTGTCTTTCGTCCAGTTAATCTGCACTCTAGATCAATTGCTTGAGCCAATTCGCTGTTGATGAACTGTAGAAGTGTCATGGACCTCATACATTTCTCACCCCTAATCTGAAAGACAATTGGGCGCATGACTTTCTCCCTTGCCACCAAGAGTACGATGGACAACTCAATCAGTTTACCCTCCTTAGCATAGCAGCAAGAAATCTCATTGATCTTCTCTAAGTTCTGTGCAAGTGAGCTAGCAGTCTCCCAAGTTTCTTTCTGCCAAAGGTGCAGTCAATTTGACGTGATTAACACTAAATCTATCTCCTCCTCAATATATTGGTAACAGGTAACATGCCAATAGCTGAATTAGTAGAAGAACAAACCATTTTCAGAAGGAAAAGCATGATAACTAACTTCAAAGTTGATTCCTTCGGTGTCCACTGCGATATATTTGCACCAGAACTTTAAAAAAGGGGTAAAAAAAAGAGTCAGAATGGAAAAAATGTATGGAACCAAGAGCAAGATCGAGATAGATCCACAGATGCATGTGGCAAAGATACAACAACCCCCGGGGGGGGGGACAAGGACACGTCTAGGTATTTCCTACCATAACTTTTCAATTGCAGCACGCATTGGAAGCAGTTTCTGATGCTCAGGATCACTTTCATCCCACCCAAAATTAGGCTGTTCAAGAGAACGAGTTAAATTAGCTAAGCAAGTGATTGCAGAAATAGCGCACTAAACCACAAAGAGGAACCTGTAACTACTTTGAGTACTTTTAGATACACAAAAAATTTGCCCCAGGCAGGTATCTACTTAGTAAATCAGAACATGATATATTGCTAGATTGAGATCCAAATGAAGTATCAAGAAAGACAAGAATACTCCAACAATTGGTTGAGTTTGGCCTTAAATTGACGAGTGCCCCCACAGACCTAAACTAATAGATCATGTATCCACCATTGCTTGCAGAAGAATATAGTGGAACTGCATCTAAAGCAAGTTGATTATCACCTAGGTCTCTTAAGAACCGAGAATCTGTCTAACGCAAAGATTATATACCATAAAATGAACGGTAATTCTACAAAGGATAGCTCTGGGTTGATCAAAACCTTGAACACATTTTGCAGAAAGAGGCAAATCTAACAGAAGCATACACATATTGGAAGTATAAATAAGAACTTAAAAACAACCAGATCTAAAATCTAATGCTTCCAGAGGCTATGTTGCACGCATCTATAGTCAGATTGGTTAATTTTTCTCAAAATCATCTTATTTGATGCGCCTCTGCATTCGTATGCATGTCTAACTCATGCACAAAGTGTATAAACAACAATAAAAACTTTGAACCCTCTTCTACCCCTCTATTTTCTCTTCTTGGGTTCATTTCTGTCATGTCACATCCAACAGCGCTACTACCCAGGAGAAGAGTCTATGGTTCATGGTAATAGATAACAGGAAGGAGCATCAACATATTCAAGGTTGTAAATCAACTCTACATCCCACTCTTGTCAAGATAAAAACAGAACAGCCCGTGACAGGACAAGCTCATTGACCATATAAATTGTCGAAGATAATCTCCCATGATTATGGGATTTTATTGCTTATGATCAATCAGGTTTGAATAGATTAGCTAAATAAAAGATAGGATATGAGTAGATTACATAATCCCAGAAATCATGGTTCTGTTACCTTAAGTTGTGACAGAATTGTGATAGGGTTGCCCTATAAATGCCTACCTTGTAAGCATATTCTGTGTGTGGAAAATAAAGAAAAGCAGAGTTTTGTTTATTTCCTTTTCTTTTTTAAAGTTTATATGGTATCAGAGCTCCGGCTGTATACCAATTTCTGTCCTTGAACTACCGAGCAGCCATGACTGGATCTAAGGAGTCTACTGCTCACACAAGAGAAGACTCATCCTCTTCTTCAATAGTTACCCAAACTACGGATTACTCTCCTTTCCCTGCAAATAACCGTTCATAAATTAAATGATTCCAATTATCTGGAATGGGCTCAATCTGTAAAACTTGCTATTGATGGCAGAGGTAAACTCGGCCACCTTACTGGAGAAATTCAACAACCAGCTGCTGAAGATTCCAATTTGCAGAGATGGCATTCAGAGAACTCTTTAGTTATCGCTTGGTTGATAAACTCTATGGAACCAGCGATAGGAAAGCCACATTTATTTTTTCCCACAGCCAAGGATGTGTGGGACGCTGTTCAGGATATGTATTCCGATGTACAGAATTCGTCTCAAATTTTCAATCTCAAGATAAAATTGTGGAAATCAAGACAAGAAGAGAGAGAGGTTACAACCTATTACAATTAGATGGTAACTTTATGGCAGGAATTGGATCTTTGTTATGAAGATGAATGGGGCTGTCGTGCAGACAGCGTTCAATATAAGAAATGGAAGGAGAACGATAGAGTCTATGTCTTCCTGGCCGGACTAAATCAAGAACATGATGAGGTGCGAGGTCGTATTTTGGGCAGGAAGCCTCTTCCCTCCATTCGTGAAGTATTATCTGAGGTCAGGAGAGAAGAATCAAGGCGTAAGGTGATGCTAAAGTCCAAGGCAGAGTGTGAAGTTGAGATTTCAACATTGGTTTCTAAGGGAACAGATTTGGACCGAGATAAACAAAGGAAGCCTTGTTGTAAACATTGTAAAAAGCTGTGACACACAAAGGACGCGTGCTGGAAATTACATGGAAAACCATCGAATTTCAAGAAGAAAAATGGAGGTGATAGCAAGGCATTGCAGACTGTGAACGAGGATTCTCAAAAGCAACAAACCGACTCTGAGACACCGGCCTTCACAAAGGAACAATTAAGCCAACTATACAAACTCTTTAAATCTCCACAATTTTCACTCACTAAGCAAAAAAGCTTCATTCCTTTCTGTTCTTTTGCTAAAAATAGTAATCATTTTACTGTTGCTCTTTCATGTAAAACATCAAATGCATCTTGTCCACGGGTTGTATGGGTTATTGATTCTAGGGCCACTGACCATATGATCATTTCGTCATAATTATTTTCAACTTACAATCCATGTACAGGCAATAAAAGGGTCAAGGTTGCTGACGGATCATTATCCGTTATAGCTGGCATGGGTTCCGTTGTCATCTCTCCTACTCTAACACTTCAAAGAGTTCTTCATGTTCCAAATTTATCATGCAATTTGCTGTCCATAAGTAAATTAACTAGGGATCTCAAATGTCAGATTAATTTTTTCACTCCTTTATATGAGTTTCCGGAACTAATCACGAGGAGGATGATTGGATGTGCTAGAGAAAATGGAAGACTTTACTCCCTTGAAGATGGATCAAATGTGACGACCAATAAAAAACACATGTTATGCGTCTGTCTCTATTACTAGTAATAAAGAGATTATGTTATGGCACTTTAGATTTGGACATCCTAGTTTTTATTACATGAAATATTTATTGCCAGGTTTGTTTAAGAATGGGGATTCATCTTTCTTTCAATGTGAAATCTGCGAATTTGCTAAACATCATTGGTCTACATTTTCTATACAGTCTTATCAACCCTCAAAACCGTTTTTTCTATTACATATTGATGTTTGGGATCCCTCTAGAATTTCAACTCCGTCTGGAAAAAAATGGTTTGTTACATTCATCGATGATCACACAAGAGTTTGTTGAATTTATTTGTTAAGAGAGAAATCAGAGGTTGCAAGTGTGTTTCAAAATTTCTACGACATGGTTCTGACCCAATTTCAAGAAAATATCAAAATTGTTCGGAGTGACAATGGAAAAAAATATTTCAATAAAATTTTGGAAATTTTTTTCTTGACAAAGGGATTGTGCATCAAAGCTCCTGCAATGATACCCCATAATAGAATGGGGTAGCTGAAAAAAAAAATAAACATCTTTTAGAAGTGGCAAGGGTATTGCTTTTTTCAAGAAATGTTCCTAAATATCTAAGGGGTGAAACAATTTTAACTGCTACATATCTCATAAACAGAATGCCCTCAAAAACCTTAAATTTCCAAACTCCTCTGAATTTTTTCAAAACACATTATTCCATTGCTCGATTAATATATGAAATCTCATTAAAGGTGTTTTGGTGCACAGTCTTTGTTCACAATCATGAATAGGGTCAAAGTAAGTTAGACTTTTGAGCAAGAAAATGCATTTTTGTTGGATATGCACCCACGCAAAAGGGGTATAAATGCTTTGATCCCATTTCGAAAACAATGTTTGTAACCATGGATGTAACATTTTCTAAAGATCAACCTTTTTTTGGAGATCCTCTTCGGGGGGGGGGGGGGGGGACTCGGCATGTAGAAGAACTTGTAGAAGATGATTTTTTCGTATTAAAAATCAAATTCCTGATCAAATTTTTATTGATAGGGGAATCGATTTTCCTAATTTTTTAGAAGAATCTACAGCACAATTTCCTCAACAAGAATCTTTTCAAGATAATAATCCTAAACAATCAAATGACTCTCATCAATTTGCCAGTCAAAAGGATTTTGAAAAACTTGAAAAATTTGATCAGGGATTAGAAGAGGATCTCTTATCTTTAGTGCCAATAACAGAGTCAAATTCTCTTAGTGAAAGAGATGGAAATGTAACTAAAAAAAATCTGAAAACCTATGTCAAGAAAAATTATCGAGCAAAAGAAAAGGCTCCCCCTTCTCTTCACAACAAGGAATCCAAACCTAGAGCAGAGTTTGATATGTTTGAGTCCTCAGATAAAGTTTCCTCTGATTCAAAGATTGCTGATTGGAATCTTCCTATTGCACTTCGAAAGGGAGTGCAAAGTTATCCCTTACTTTCTTGACATTTACTTCACAACTTTCTTTTGTGAAAATTCCAAAGAATGTACACGAAGCATTACAAGTTCTAGAGTGGAGAAAGGCTATTGAAGAGAAGATGTATGCTCTTCAGAAGAATCAAACATGAGCAAGTAACAAATCTGCCACAAGCAAAAAAAGCATTAGGGTGTAAAGGGGTCTTTACCATCAAGTATAATTCCGATGGGACATTGGAATGAGACAAAGCTCGTTTGGTGGCTAAAGGGTTTACTCAAACCTACGAGACCGACTATTTGAAACTTTTGCTCCAATGGCAAAATTAAACACTATTAGAGTGCTTCTCTCAATGGCAGTAAATCTTGATTGGCCACTCCAACAACTTGTTGTCAAAATTGCATTTTTAAATGGAGATTTAGAGAAAGAGGTGTACATGAATTCTCCCCCTGGATCTGAAGGGAAGTTTCAGTCTAGAGTTTGCAAGCTAAAAAAATCGTTATATGGTCTCAAACAATCTCCTAGTGCCTGGTTTGACAAATTTACTAGGTCAGGAAATGATCAAGGCTATACCTAAGATCAGAGTGATCACACCATATTTGTTAAACACTCCAAAGACGGGAAGATAACAGTACTCATTGTGTATGTGGATGATATCATTCTCACAGGAGATGACTTAATTGAGATGGAGCTGTTGAACAAAAGTCTTGCTTCTAACTTTGAAATCAAAGAATTGGGAACACTATGAAATTTCGGATGGAGGTAGCTTGGTCCAGGAAGGACATAGTTGTGTCCCAACGCAAGTATGTTTTGGATCTTTTAAAGGAAATAGGGATGAGTGGATGTCGACCTGCAGACACTCCTATGGATCCAAATCACAAGTTAGCAGATATAAAAGATGAAACACCGGTTAATACTGCTCGATACCAAAAGTTAGTGGGCAAAGCTAATTTACTTGGCTCACACTTGTCCTGATATAGCCTTTTCAGTGAGTGTTGTGAGGCAATTTATGCACTCTCCATATGAAGAGCACCTTGATGCAGTATATCGAATTCTGAAGTACTTAAAAAGTACTCCAGGAAAGGAATTGTTCTTTAAAAGGAGTGATCGAAAGACTATTGAAGCTTATACAGATGTTGATTGGGCAGGATCAGTCATTGATAGAAGATCAACCTCGGGGTATTGTACATTTGTATAGGGCAATTTGGTTACTTGGAGAAGTAAAAAACAAAGTGTTGTAACTCGTAGTCGTGCAGAGGCAAGAGTACCGGGCTATGGCTTATGGTGTGTGTGAGATGTTATGGCTGAAGAGTGTTAGAGGAGCTGAAAAGACCTATTGAACTTCCAATGAGGCTCTATTGTGACAACCAGGCGACAATTAGCATAGCTCACAATCCTGTGCAACATGATAGAACCAAACATATTGAGATTGACCGCCACTTCATAAAAGAGAAACTTGAAGGAGGAATTATCTGCATGCCATTCATTCCATCAGCTCAGCAGATAGCTGACATTCTCACCCAAGGACTCTCTAGACCAAATTTTGAGCTTCTTACAAGCAAGTTGGGCATGATAAATATATACGCACCAACTTGAGAGAGGGGTGTCGAAGATATTATCTCCCATGATTATGGGATTTTATTGCTTATGATCAATCGAGTTTGAATAGATTAACTAAAATAAAAGATAGGATATGAGTTGATTACGTAATCCCTAAAATCATGATTCTGTTACCTTAAGTTGTGGCAGAATTGTGATAAGATTGCCCTATGGCTATAAATGCCTACCTTTTAAGCATATTCTATGTGTGGGAAAATAAAGAAAAGTAGAGTTTTGTTTATTTCCTTTTCTTTTTTAAAGTTTACATAAATGAACCCAAAATGTTGATAGGTAAAACAACAAAGACTTAATTAAATTTCAAAGACAAAACCTTAAGTGATTTTTCAGCTAATAAAACATACTAATACTTTGTGGCCTCTTTAACATGTTCAAATGCCAAAAAGGAAACCTATTTGAACAAGGCAACCTAAATGTTATTAGGAAGCAACCATTTTAAGACAAACTTCTAAAATAGACTTCTAGTAGGTAAGTGACAAGGCAAATGGTCCCACAAAAAGTTCATAAGTTATCAATACCATTGTCTCAAAGGAATCTAGCTCTGGTAAGCCAGACCTGAAATAAGAGTGGAGTCCAGGAAGCTGCTCTTCTGCATGGTTGCAAGCAAACATATGAAAATAATCACAAATCAACCGTGAAACAAGCTACACTAAATCATAAAACAGGCAGAGCGAAAAACCTGAGCTAGGTTGCATTCTAAGTTCTGGTATATCCAATTTTACTTTCATGACCAAAAGAAACCAAGAAATACAAGTCAGTGTCAGTATTGCTGATCAAGATGAACCACCGTGGAATCATCAGAAACTAAAGACATAAACTAAGGCAAAAGAAAAGACGAAAAATTAAAGTTCAGCAAATAAAATTTGCATCCTACATGGTTTAAAAAGATATGAAGTCTCTTGGCCGCTCAATTTGAAGCCTGAGTCTTCAAACACACGTCCAATACCAGCAGCTGTTGAGGGAAACTGCAACCATCATAATTGGTGCACTAATGACAAACTATCACAGATTTGAATTATAAAAAGCTAGCCATCCAACCAACAAGAGATCACATCCATCCGTTCATCTTTTTTGGACGAACATATGTTTGTTTGTGTGTAAAGATATATGCTTGTCTACATTTATGTGATATTGCATCCTTCCGATATTCATGTGATATTCAGCACTTTATGCATAATAGTTTTCCAAGCAAATCTGGAAAAACTCGGGAGTTGTGTACATTTTCAACCAAATGAAATAAATTCATTTCTATGACAAGGAGCATCAGAAATCTCTTTCCAGGATTAAAATTCATTTAAACTGTGTCCACAACCAAAATATACAACATTTCTATGACAAGGAGCATCAGAAATCTCTTTCCAGGATTAAAATTCATTTAAACTGTGTCCAGAACCAAAATATACAAGATGCCAACTTTTTCAAAAAGGAACTTCAGAAAACAATTAAGGAACTCTCTCTCCCCCCCTCCCCCCAATCCCACCCCAAATTATTAAATCCTTTTTCATTCTCATTTCATGAAGGTTACCTGCAAGATTGAGGATTTTCACCAATCGCCTGTTCACATGTCAGTTGGATTGGAAAGACCAAGCATCAATGCTTTCCAATTGAAAACCACTAAGACAACAAATGGCAGATTATTAAATCTGCCTTTTAACCCTTTTATCATCTTCTGAATTCCCAATCTACTTCTGTTTTTATGACAATTATGTCGAATTTCAGAATCCATTTGTCTTTCCTATTCCTGAAGAGAAAGAAAATTTTTCTTTGTACCAAAATTCATTTTCCTTTCTGAAAAAGTATCTTGGCCTTTAAAGTTCACATTTGACAAGTTGCTGCTTTTGGGGGGATGACAGAAGAATTTCAGATATGAGAAAAATAAGACAATGAAGCCTAGTTTTATGTGAAATTTTTTGGTGTTTTCTCCTTTGAAATCTTAAGACTCTTCCAACATTGAGAAAGTTCATTTTTTCTCCTTTATGTATGAATTAATATATTAAAATTAAAAAGAGAAAAGCCATAGATAGAGAAAGAACTATTGGTTTTCCTCTTAGACAACAAATTCACTGGCAACAGCTATGACATCTTCTTCCCAAAGTAACAGAAACATGAAGATGCAGAAATTAGTTGCCTAAGTGAAAAATTGAAAGAGATTAGATACTAGAGCAACATACAGTTTGCTCTGCCATACTAACAGCAATTGCAATCAGACGATGAGTCCTTTGAAAAATCTCAAGTAACATTAGTATAGACATCATTGATTTCTTCATTTCCTTGCACTTCGCCAAACTGTAGCTGTCAACCAGCACAAGATTATGCAACTTGTTTTCAAGCATCACAATCTCATTGACAACGAATTGGCGCAAGGTCATCCGGTCCACTGAGGAAACATAACTACTGGGCATGTAAAGATCGTCAACCCTGATATATTTTCTATCTGTGGACAGTATAAGCAATGTGGCCAACTCTATTATTTTTGCTTCTGCTCCATAACGACATATGACTTCAGAAACATTTGATTCAGACATCTTTTCTATGAGCAACCTCATAGTTTGAGTGGCCTCAATCTGCCACAAAATGGCAGAAAAGAAAATAATCAAACATCAGTTCCAAATAAGATGTAAGTAGCCATACTGTGAAATAAATTTGAACACTATGATTTGATCAAAAACTATCACCAACAGTAGTAAAATTCCTTACCATTCCCTCTCCAGTAAGTTCACAAATCAACAGGTACAGCGATTGCTCTTGAGTCCAGTAAACCCTCCTCCTACAGCAATTAAGCGAAGTGTAGCAACTAGCAAAAAACTAGTATTCAATTACAAAAGTTTGTATAACAACTGAAAATTGACCTTACTGCAAAAAGAGCATAATCTATAGGCAGTAGACCGTCATAATCTGTTCCACGGTTGGGAACTTTCGCATCAGCACACCAACCACATTTTAGACAATATTTGGTGAATTTAGGCCATAATAATGCCGCTGCCGTATGGAGTGGGGATACTCCAAGTTCATCTAAATTCAGGGTCACACCAGTCTCCCCTTCAAATAATGCTTCTGTACAATTAAGTGCACGAAACTGAAGGCAGTGCGTTAAAATGAAGGATGACAGTGGAAGGCCTTTTCTGTCAAAACACTCCTCAGCTATATCAGATTGGCTTTTTAGCAGCTCCACAAGCTCATGCTTCTTATCATATTCAATAAGATGCCTAATCTTCTCTCCAAACCGGTTCCTCTCAGCATCCTGATGACAAAGATTTCCAAGAAAGGACATCAGTAAATATTTTGAAGTGCATTTAATAAGCTAGCAAGCAATTAGACTAAAGTGAATACCAGCTTGGGACAATGCCTCTCTTCATCATTGGAGGATGAAAACCCCTGAAATTAATAAGGAAAATTTGTTAAACACATACTCAATGAGAGAACTACCTAAAGTACATACCCATGTCCACAGGCACCATGGATAGGCAGGAAAACAGAAAATTTCACCACAGAAACACCATAAACTCCGCCTATCAAAATTGGAATGGTTTTGTTTCACCATTTTGTAAATATTGGTAAGTTTTTCCTTGTTCTCTTTTTCTTTTGTTTACATATCTGGGTTTTAAGTTACGACCGAATACATGAACCAGGATGGCAAAAGAGAAGAAAGTAGTATCAATTATCCATACATTTTTTGGAAATGAAATATACTTGTTTTCTTTTCTTTCAAATGGGGGGACATTTCTACAACAGGATATGATAAGCAGAATGGAAAATACTCAACCGGCATGCACATGAGAGGACTTCCTGCACTTGTTCAACAGACTAGTTACAGGCATTTTATTTACTCCACCCAACTTTTGGAGAAAAATGAAAAGATTCAAATCTTGAGAAGCTAATGAACTTGTCCTCTCTGTTTATTCTGTTTTTTAGCTCTTCAAAATCAATCAGAACACTAGGAACCTTTGTGTATTCCTGTACTGGAAATCCCTTCAGGTTCTGTCCAAACACTGTGGACCTTTGCGTATTCGTCTCCCAGAAATCTCTCCAGATTCTATCAAAAGAAACTTACTTTCCTAGAACTTAACCATGAATAACACACCAAAAGATACCACTTAAATACAATTTTGCATAAAAAACTAACATAACTAACCTAAACAAGATACAAACTTTTGAGAGAACTGCCTAGTTGAATGCCTCTATATGTATGAACTAGAGAAGACCTGCAGGGAGAACCCTGTCACTGTAGCTGTATTTGAGGGGGAAAAAAGCCAAAGTGTAATTCTTGACTTATGAAATGACAGCTTCAACTTTTCAAGAGTTCATCCCGACACTTGGGCCATACATGGATTGAAAACGAAGCACGAAGAGAAGATATAAGTGTCGAAAGGAACCTATAAAAAACGAAACCCAAGTGTCCGAGTCGACCCATTCCAACTCAGGACCAAACAATCATAATAACAGTAGTATTTTTTTTTTTAATGGTAGTAATAATAACAATACTAATGAAGCAATCCATCTGCTTTGCTAAGAAAGTTGATGCAAAATCAATGACAAATTCCCAAGAACATCCAAAAATATTGATGCGTAGAATTCATTGGACAAAATCAATGTAAGAAAAAGTACAACAAAAGCAATAAAACACTAACCGCCATAGAACTCTCTTAAGACAAACTTGTCTCCTAAACCCTCGTCACCAGAGCAGCAGGAAGCAGAAAGAGGAGAAGGACCAGGCGACCAGCCGGATGAGGAGCGAGTGAAGGAGCTTGCATGAGCAAAGGAGAAGATATAGCCCAATAAAATTAGATGGTTACGACAGGGGGGAGTGGGCTGTTGGTTTGGAGTGGAGTGGGTATCGCCATTGGGCTGCTGGGCTTAAGTTTGGTTAATGAAGATTATTATAAAGGATTGTGTGGGAGGCTTTTTTAGGGCTTGATTTGAGACACTAGGATAGGTAAGAAAGGAAGAGAAACTTTAACAAGTTACAATGGACTAGCAACATGACATCGTGCCTGCGCACGGTGAGGAATTAAAGTGATGCCCAGTATGAGCTGACTTGCATGTTATGTATGGTTGTATTTGTTATTTTGTTTAATGAATGAAATTAAGACATTATTAATAAAAAATGAATAGGTGAAGTAGCTGCATAAGAAAAGATATTGAAATGTACATGTACAGTTTGTGCTATGAATGAGAAGGAAGTTAGTAAATTCAATGAGGAAAAAGACATGTAGTTTTATTTTTCTTTTATAAAATGTAATAGATGAAAAAAAATTTGCTGGAAACATATTTTGGCGGATGCATATTTGTTTAATTGATTGCCATATACATTAACATTTTGTTTGTCCCAAAAAGCATATAGTTTGGATTTCCCTCTAAAACGTCAGAATTATGTTTACTAACATATGACTATAGGAGATAGTGTCTCAATCGATGGGATTTTTTAAGCAGGGAAAGTGATTGTAAGTCTCTGTACATATACCAAAACGTATCATCAAGTGGCCAAAAAAATAAAAAATAAAGTATCAACTGACACAGGCAAGATCAGATGTATTTTCTTGACATTACACCTGCCGATACAAGCCTTCTTTCGTACGTGAAATTGATAATACAAAGTCAAATTATACTCCCGACTACAGTTTAGCATGACACATTCACAACTTGTAAATAATGCCTGAATTAAACAATTACAATCCTAGAATGCTACATGTCCAAGTCAAACTCCTTTTTCACCTCAACACAGTCTAATTAGAGAAGGGAAAGGTGTACTCGCCCACCAAACTCCATTGACCTTCTTTGCATGGAAGATGCTCTTTCGTTTAAAAAAAAAAAGAAAAAGACTCTGACATGTAAAAATAGTAATTGTGTTTAAATAGGAAATTATTTAAAAATATTAGTTAGAACAATATTGGGAATATTATTTGTAAGAATAGTTTTTTATGATATGATATACATAAAATAGAAAAGATGATTGAAAAATTTTAAAGATCGATTATAAAATAAACTGTGATGCAAATAAATAATTTTTTACAAATGATGTCGATCCAAACACATCCAAAGCATTAAAACATTCATAAATTACGTGTCATTCACATTTGGACAAATCTGTACATACAAAATGTATACTAATCCACACAAAACTATATTAAGCCTTACCCACTACCCCCAAAGGCGTGTTCTTTAGGAAATAACTGCAATCCTATAAAAGCAATTCAACCCCTTGATCACGACTTAAAGAAAAACAAACATTGGGGCAGAAACCCAGGAAAGAGAATTATCTTGTGTTATACGCATATAAATTTGAGATCAGCAGTCCAAGTATGTCAAAAGAACGATATCAACACATTTCGAGAATAATTATTCCTCCAAAGATGGAGCACATATTGAAATTCCTTCAGTTATGAATTTTCTTTTCAATTTTTCTCATCTTGTTAAATACAACAGGAGACAAAGATCCGAACCACCAACAGTCAAATGCTAACATGATAAAAAAAACAACCCATCCAGCTGCAGTGGACTTATTAGAACCTGTTCCAGTGGTTGTAGGAAGATTCTTCTGCAGAATGCCAACAACAAAACCGCTATTAAATTTCATCACAAGTAGACCACAAGCTGACTCCAAGATACAAGTATTGTATCTCTACATAAACCATTTAAAACGACCAAGCCTATTTACACAGGTTGGAGAGAGAATAGCATATCCATGTAAAGTCAGAACAATTCCAAATAAAAGACATTTGGTAAAACAGCAGCTAATATTTTATGTCTACATACATGACATAAAAAGGTAGCACCAATGAGAACATATTGATCAAGCAAGATATTGACGATTCCTATATTTATGAATCTCTATCAAGCAAGATAAGTTTGTCTTTCTAAATGCCACTGAAGTAAAGGTAATTTACAAAAGGTTGCTAGAAATTTTTGTTATACATTTTGCTTCCAAATGTTTCTAAATATGAATTATATTCCCTTTCAGAACATTTTGCAAAGAAATCAGTTACATAATCACCTGAAAATGATGACCCTATCTTACCTCCACTTCCCCAAAACCACAAGATCAGGTAATACCAGTTGTATCACTAAATTTCTTAATTTGGAAAGCTACACCTAAGTACTATATCTATACTGCAGATCAGAGAATATCACAAGAAAACAAACAGTGGGCAAAATGCTTTTTGATAACTGAAATTATCCAGTTAAGATAATTTAGAAATGATGTTTTATATGACCAGCCAATTCATGGACCTAAATGAAGGTTAAATAAAAGCTGGACAAAGCAGAAATTTTTGAAAGCCTCAAGTTTAAACTACCAACCCCATCCTTAAACACAAGAAGAATTGTCCTTTAAATCGACTCAGATGAGTCCTTTATTCCAATCACATGATGATCAATGATCCTTCTTGATGGGAGTTTCGGAAAGTTGGCAGGTCTCAATTTTCTTGATTGTAGTCTACTACAATTAAGTGCTCTATCTACCTCTAATAACAAAGTCTCTTGGTAAACAAAATTCTGTTGTTCAAATTGTATAGAAGGATAAAAAAAGTTCCAAAAACGTAACAGAAAGGAGAATGGGAACCTCCAGTTGTGACAGATCTGCCTGTGGATCAGCAGAATGTCTAGCAACTTCCTTAGGCCCCTTAAGAGTAGTATTATGCCTTCCCAAAGTCATCTTAGCAGCTGCAGAATCATTGAGAGGGGGTCGGAGAGGAGACTGAATCCTCACTCCTCCACTAGGAGGTGGTGCTATACTTAGAGTTTTGGCCTTTACAGTTCCAGGATGTCCACTTAACAATCCTGCAGGTGAAAGCATGCCTGTTCCACTAGGAGGTTTGTTCTTCACATTAATTCGGATAGTTTCACCTTCCTGAAAGATAAAAAGAAAAATGTTAGTCCATAAGAAAAAAAGATAACATCAACACAATAACTAAAACTTCACCAGTAATATCAGAATGTAATAAATGAAGAGAAAGCAAAACTTGCACATAAAATCTGAGGTTGCTAGATAAACCTAACAAGGAAAGACAATGAATTCCAAAGAAACACATAATGAATCAATTTCAAGAGCCAATTATGACTATTCCTCTTCGTCATTTTCATCTTAATTGGACAAGTAAGCATAGGATGAGAATGCAGCACAAATTCCACCATGGACAAAAATTGATGAGTCTAACTATTACCCAACAGATTTCAATAGCCTATCCAATCCCAAAATCAGTAAACAGTGCAGTAAAAAATCCTAACATAGACAAACAGATACCAGCTTAACTATTAGTCTTGAAGAAATCAACAATCTAGTGGCCACTCTCAAAATTCTTTTAACAACATTGATGGTAGAAAAACAGACGACAAATTCTTAACAATAATCAAATAATCTTTAGATGGCAAGTAAAAATTATTGAGGTAATACTCTGAAAATAGCTGGACTCTGTGAAGCAATAACTGGACTCTGTACTTGAATCTAGCTTCTTAACTTACAAGTCACAACTAATTCGAAAAGGCCATTTGCACATTCAACAAAACTGAAATAGATAAGTAGCCATGCATGCACCAATTGCCTCATGCCAAAGTACTCTTAACACTGACAATTCCAATGGCTTGTGAGCAGAATAGAGCTATTAAACCTATTTAAGCAAGCTTGTAACTTACAAATTCCAAACACAGATTGAAAACTATGAATTCAGCAGGCACATCACTAAGCAAAGAAACTAAGATCATGAATGCAATTAGCTTCAGCACTAAACAATAAGTGACATTCTACAATCCAAAGCAAAACTCAAATACTAATACCACCCAAAAAAAACCAGAGAGAGAGAGAGGAAAAAATATCAAAGTCTTGGGACCTTAGTAATCAGTAAAACACATGGGACTTTAAGCACTATGGAGATGAACAATTATGTAAATATCAGATTCCTAAATTTCTACCCACACAAAACATTAGACATCAAAGAAGTAAAACATTAACCGAGCAAATTAACCAGGAATTTGAATAGAGTAAAACTAAATTTTAACAAAAAGCAAAAAGAGAGATATATTCCATCAGGCAAGGTATGACAAGACCCTATTCCAAAAAAGGAAAAAGAAAAGCTCTAGAAAAAGGTTTTTTGAGTAGTCTGAGGCAAAAAACGAAAAGAAGAAAAAAAATTAGAAGACATTAATTCTTTCGTATACTTACCATTACCATGAGGCTAGCACTTGTACAATCAAAAACCTCGAAAAAAAAAAGAAAGAAAATATTCAATAATAACTACCAGATAAAGTCAAAAGAACAAAAACTGAGCTACAAAGAAATTGACATATGAAGAAAGGCAAAATCCACATACAGATTTTCTTGGCAATTATTGCCCCCTTTCATCTTAGTGTAGTTGCTAGTAGAAAAGCAAATGAATTTCATGAATAGTTGAGAAAGGGCAAAAATGGAAATTGGGCACAACATTGAAAAAAAAGGAAAATTTCACCTTCGATGCCTCCTTTCAACTTCATTTGCTTCTTATTTTCATCCCTGCAAAAAAGTGTAGAATACCTCAAGAATAACTTAATATGGAAAATTCCCAACAAGATCAAGTTCTATATCTTCCTGCTACATTGCACAAAAGCCAAAATACACAGTCTTAAAAGCACAACATGAAATTCTTCACCAAAAATCCCTCTAATTTAAAAAATTAGCTAACCATTTTCTTCAACAGTAATGTATAAGAATTACTTTACAATTCCATAAAAACTTACCATTCATCCTTGAGGAATGTTAGTGATCCATAAGAAAATTATCAAATATGCTCCTACAACACTGAAAAAACAAACTAATAATAAATCTAAAAGGAAAAAAAGAGAAAAAAGAGTACCAAGAAAATAGGGGCTGCAATAGTGAGGCATTTGCATCTTTGTTATCCTAGTTGAAAGAAAAACTATTCGTTAAAAGGTAAAGGAGTACCGTTTAAACTTGAATTCCACCATTAAAGTTTATAGAAATTCATGTAAGAAGATATTATCTGAAATTTCTTAGTAATGGTGCTACAAACCAAGACGATATTAGGAAAAAAGACGTACAAAACACATTGAAAGAGATTAAGTAATTTGGGCATAAAAAACTTACCTTTTGATATATGGAAAGGGAAACAAAAATTAACAGAAATTTTTCCTTTCTCCTTTACCTACCGAACAATAAAAATATTTGTTGCCCTTGATTTTCACCATTGAATATGAATATCAATATTAAAAGCAGGAGAAAACTCACAAGAGAAGAAACTCTCTACTTTTTTTTCTTTTTTTCTTTCAGACTTACTAAAATTTTTCATTAATGGCTGGACATGCTCTAAGCCAAGGGAAAAGTAGAAGGGGGAAAAAATGATAAAACATATGCAATAAAATAAGAAATGAGGGCATACAAAGCTTAAATTTCAATAAATACAATAACTGAACACATATTTCTGGGAAAAAATCCAACAAAGGTGATCAGCGCCCGAACCGGCGACGGAGGTGGTGACCGGTGACAGAGCAGTTGACGGAGGTAGTGGTGGGGGAGGAAGAAGAAGAAAAGGGAAAGGGAGTTTTTTTTTTTTGGATATTTTAAGAGCGGAGGTTAAAAATTTTGATAAATTTTTGGGGTTTCTGTAGCATAAGTTGTTAAAAAATTAGTATAATAAAAATTTGGTAAAAACTTTGGACTTCCAAACAAGCCCAGTCTGATTTCTTTTCTTTCCCTTCCCTTCTTTCTAAATCCGTCGCTCCCGAACGAAAGAATTGAATGGGCTTAGTAACTCAATTTTTCCCCCTTTTACAGAAAAGATCTTTCTCTACCTATTGCATTTCTTAGAACATCTATGGAAGTGTGCCAAATTACGCTCTAATATACCCAAGTATCTTACATTATTGTCCTGCGTAGTTACGATTTTTGTAATGTAAAATTTATTCTTGTCAACAAATAAAATATAAATGGGTAGTTTATGAAATAATCATCAATGAATTGATTAATAGATTACAAGAAGAACTCCCGCATTTTCCATTCCTTGGATTTGTTAGAAATTATTCCCGATTCGATAGCTTGTATTAGATTTTTTTTTTTTTTTTTTGGTCAGATAGCTTGTATTGGACTTGATATCATGCAATATAGTACAGAATGGAATATGATTTAATTATTTCAACTAATTTCCATAATTTAATTCCTATTTTTTCCAACTAGTTTAACCGCAGTCTCACTAGCCAATATTAAGTTTAATCATCTCTTATATGCTCATTCGGTAACAAATTACTTTATTTGTGGTACAAATTCGCCATATATTTTCATGATAGTTATTGACAAAGCATTTATCCACACTTAACAAAAATGTAGATCATGCGTAGCACCTAAATCACACTGAACTCACGATGAAACTACTTGAGGATTTGTTTAAGTTTTTTAAAACTGAAATTGTGATTTGCTTATTAATACTGAATTGCAGTTTTTAAGGGTAAAGTGTTAAGGGAATTGTTGTTGTTGGCTTTTCTTGTTTATCTAAGAGACCAACATTTTTTAGATCAATCGTGTTCAAAAAGCACAAAAAAATTCTTAGGAGTTAGGACTAATATCCACATTTCTTTTTTTACTATATACAGTACTATCTTCTTTCACTGTCTTCTTTGAACTATTTTCTGAACTATATTTATCAAATGCCTATTCAAGATTCCGTTTACATGAGCGTTTAGGCTCATACTTAGAAAACAATGAAAAAATCATTGGGGTGTTTTAACCAAAAGAAAAACAAAAAAAATAAATAAAAGTAAGAGTCGTTATACTAGGGTTCTTGGTTTTCGATTATTGAGTTTTATGTTAAATCATTTTGAATTCATTCTCGAAGATTAGGTAAAATGATGGGAAATGGATTCAGAAATTTGATAATCTAATAAATCTTTTGACTTTCAAGCATAATTATTAAACCCAACCCAAGGAGGAACCCGGTGAAAGAGGTGGGTCAATGAATTTTTGGTTCAACCAGTAGGTGAGTGGTCCAACCGGTGAGTCACTAAATATATTTAAATATTACGTCTCATAATTTTTTATGCCATAATAAATATTTAGTTAGTATAATTTATTATAGAATCATTAATTCTTATAAGAATTAACAACCTAAATTTAATTAGTAATCTAGCAAATTCAAGTATAAAATTTTATCTAAGTGTAATTATCTAATTTATTTTTGAATTTTAAGTGCAAAAGTTTATTAAGAATAATATTTGCCTTTAAAAGAAATTGTGTAATATGTTATTTTTTAAGTCAATTTCATAATTTATAGAGTTTGGGGAATAATAAAATGTTATTAAAAGATTCCAAATAAATTTTGTTTTGGAAAAATAAAATAAGAATAAAAGTCTAATATATAGTACAAAAAGGACAAGATAACAACAAACGGGTAGTTGGCGTAGTGGTGATGGTATTCTATGAACATGCTTGATGTTTGGTGTTTGAATCTCCATTCTAGCATTTTCATAAAATTTTTTCATGTGGACCGAGTTCCTCATAAAATCGGCTGGTTCACCGGTTGAACCGTCGATCCGTTGAAATGGCAACGGATTCAATGCAGAAACGATCAAATTGATAACCTGATCTAATTCAATTACTGGTTCACCGGGTTGACCGGTTGAACCGTCGAGTCGGATCGAGTTTAATAACTATACTTTTCAGGAATCTGATAATTCAGGAAGTATTTATTACATTTCCTTAGCCATTCTTGCGGATTATCCCCATAAAAAAGAGGTAGCTCTGGTTTTGGAGGATTAGGTAAATAGATCTTATCTTCATCTCTCCTGAAGAAGCTCGCAGTGTTTTCTCCTTTTTTGTTGAGTCTTTGTTGAGGCGGTGGTGTTGATAGAATTGGCCTCTCCCTTGCCTCTTCCATGGGACTCCTTTCTTTGTTCATCATCATTTGTACGAAGGAATTGAATTTCTACTCCAGTTTAGTCATCAATGCTTCCAGTTCTTCCAATTTCTTGTTAGAATTCTCCATTTCTGTCATAATTTCGCTGCTAAAATGAACTTAAGACTGATGCTGAGAATTTTGGAATGCTTCAATAGCATCTTGCAACCTCACTTCTTGTTTCTTGACATGTTCCTCCAAGGATTTCAGTCGAGTACCTTCAACCATTGCAACTTCCAAGAATCGCTGGCTCTGATACCAATTTATCAAGATCTAAGTTGAATCAGATTAGGAATTGTGAGAATTTAGAAGGAAAAGGGATAAGCAAGGTAGAAGAAAGAGAATCGAGAGAAATGTGAGAAGAGAGAAAGTATTCATCATTGTTGAAATTCTGTTATTATAATCACCAAACTCTATTTTTATAACTACTGCAACCGACTGACTACCTCTATTAGTAGTACGGTATCGTTTCAATAAATTGAATTCCTCAGTTAAAACGGTGACGTATATTGAATTCCTCAGTTAAAACGGTGACGTATCTATCTATTCCTGATAACACGCAACTAAAGAAACGCTGAAATTAGCTGGAAGATGGCAAATCAGTAACCTGAACTAACAAACTCAACTTCAAAGGGTGTACAAGAAGCCAGGTTGATAGCTTGCACAGCAGAGGAAATTACTAAAAGAGGCCTTTAAGAGACGGACGAAAAGGATCCAAAAGTGAAACCAAAGTCGTTTTTATTATAGAGAAAAAAAAATAGGATTAGGAGAATAAAACACCTTCCCTACTTTTCGTTTCTGCTCAAATCTCTTCTCCCGAACTAGCTATTTGTGAAGTGGGTCTCTGGTTAACGCCGAGACCAGCCTCTCGCTGCCCACCTTTTCACGATGCTGCTGGACAGAAAAGCCCTCGTCTAGACACTTCGACAAGAAGAGTTATAAACATGTACTAGATTCTCCCAACACAGTATAATTGGAGAAAATTTGCTTTGTATCTCAATTGGTCCGTTGAAAGCATATTTTTTGCCCTTTATTCTTTCATTTGTAAATGCTAATCTGCAAGCATTATACCTACCCAAAAAACCTGCAAGCATTATGTTCTTGTTCACTCCTCTCGGACCTGATCTGATCTCTTGTTTTACCGACATAACACGGCTTGCCAATTTCCTTCCTCTGTTGTTCTAACTATAGTAATTTGTGGATGCAGTTTCAGGGTTGGAGTTGGGGTCACTGTTGAATTTTCCCTGCACTCCGTTTAAGCGGCGATGGCTAAAGTAAGTGTTGCTACTAGTTCTGTTTAGCTTGATGCGAAATGGTGCTTAGCTTGTGAAGTTGTGCTGGAACATGACTGTTTGGCTTCCCGTGGAAAACAAAGTTGTATCCTTAGCTTGTACAGTTGTGTTTGAGCTCAACGTGCTTGGCTACCATTGAAAAACAAAGTTGTGTCCCTTGGATAGTTGAAGAATTCACCTTACCTAATTTCATTCTGCGGTTTTGAAGTATTCTTTGGGGAATAGTATCTTTCCGATTGCTGTTTACCCTTTAGGGTTCTCTCCATCTGTTTTGCATCTCCTGGACAGATATACACATGTATAATTGCATACAGTACGAATGCCTGAAACAAAAGATAGGATCTTTGTGCATAATTTATGATCCTTTAAAGGAAAACAACGAGAAGATGGATTAGTCCTTAGTCTTGTAATCGTCTCAAGAGGGATGTAGCAAGTATAAAGAGGTAGGCCAATCTCTGAAGACTTAAGTTCAACTTCTCTGACGATTAATTAACTTTTTTAATTTTTTTTTCTGAAAAAAAGGAAAAAAACTGAATAGATTTATGTAATAGCTGATACCCTCCTGATGCATCATATTTGATGGATATATCTCTTTCCATTCCTTAGCAATAAGCTAGTCTTTCCCTTTTAGTCTAAACTAGACGTTTTGGTGCTGCTGTCTGATCTATGCTTTTGTCGGGCTTCTGGTTTGTTGATGTTTTATTGCATAATCAGTTCACTATCTCAGCATTTTTCTCCATTACTGACCAACAGAAAGTCCTTAACTTTCTTTTTCCTTTTTTGCTTTTTGGTGCGAGTTTCACTGTCCTGCTTGCTTTCTTTCTCCTGTCTATTACTGTTTTAATATGTGAACGAGTATCCATATCTGTATATACTTTTCTTATGGATGTGATAATTTATAAGGCTTAGTTGGATCTAATGTTTGGCTGTTGTCTGCAGAAGTGGTACCTAAGTGATACTGAGGATGAAGATATACTTGTGAGTATAAACATTTCCTGCATGATTGTATAGAAGAATTCTATAGTTTTTCAGCCTTGACTTTGTTAAGCTAGTTCAAAAATATCAATTCAAAAATATCAGGTGGCGATGGACAGAAGTTATATTGATCCTTTTCAGGAACATATTGAGAAGCTAATTGCGGTGGATAAGAAGGATGATCTTGTTGATTTTATAAGAAGCCAAGTTGATAAACTTATTGAGGACTTTAATAGAAATGGCTCTCGACTGGCATACTCCATCCTCTATAAGTGTGTACATTCTAGTGCACTTAATTGTGCAGCAGCACTATTGGAAGAGGAGACTGATCTGACCCAATATTTTAAATTGCCTGGATTAAATTTGCTCCATACTGCCGCAGATGCTTTATCTCTTAAGATGACGAGGTATTTTCTCAAATTTGGCATGCGGGCGGATGAGAAAGCTACTGGTATTCATACACATGGTTGTCAGATGTTACTACCTATTGACTTTGCTGTTCAGTCTGTTAGGTCCATTTCAAATCATTTCTTGGATACCTTTACAGCACTTGCTGTGTTGCTGTTCTTTTTGGTGATTCATTTCTTTTGGTTGCTTCAGGAGGAGGGTTTTCTGGACCCAAGAACAGTCACTTTACAGGTTGATTTTTAGACTTGTTCCACAGGGAATGGTAAGAATTCTTATAATCCTCATCCCAAAATATGGTTATGGAATCAGTTTGATTGATCATTGATGCGCATGACTTTACGAGTGACATGTGCTTATTTTGATTTCGTTTGTGTCAGTATGGGCCAAGACAAACTATGAAGTTGCTCATGCATGAGATATCTTCCTCAGAGGCTTCTGAAATTATATGTCGTTATGCTACAGAAGGGAAAATAATTGAGTTAGCCTCTCTGCTTATAGCATCATCGGAAGGCCATCTGACAGTTGATAATCTTTACATGCCCGGTAATGATGCCTCTGGGTACCGGATCACCTTGCGTCAGTACATCGTTAAAAAAATAGTAGCATTAACAAATGACGTGTGTGATCTAGAGCTCATGGAAAGCAACAAGTTAGCTGAGTGCAGAGAAATGCAGAATTCAATGATGTCTATACTGATGTTGCTTGAAATTTTTTTGAGGACTGGACATCGTATTGCATGGGAGGCAAGTGAATCAAGTTATTTTGTATGTATCTCTGACATCCAATCCACTTTGTTAGTTTATTTAGGTAATTACCTTTTTATACTCACGTGTTCTTTTGATTGGGGAAGGAGATAACCCTTGCTGCTACAAATTGCATTTCTGTTATAGGATGGAGATTGATACAGCACATTGTATTTGTAATAGATAAAGGACAGATTGCATGAAATGTCCTTGATGTTTGAAGAATCATGAGACTTTGCTTGCCTGTGTTGTTTTTCCAGTGTCACTCAAGCCCTTCGTTCATTAGTGAGTTGTTTGATGCTAGTAACTTGTATTGTCAGATTCTTAAAACTGTCAATCACTTTCTTGGGGAAAACACTGGATACTCTTAAAGCATCAGATTTGGCATGGTGCTCTTCTGCTCTTTAATCTTGTCTAATGGTTGCGGATTATTATCCATCAAGCCCAAGAACCTAGTGAAGTTACTCCTTCAACTTTTGACTAGTCTGTTGTTTTTCCTATTTGGGAGATATTAGAATTGAATAATACAATTTCACGTTGAAGCCAAACTCAAGGTGAATAGTTCAATGTGCTGTATTGGTATGGAAAAGCTTATACCCTAAAGGAGTTGAACAAATATCAACCTTAATTTAACTGCAGCTCCATCCCTCAAAATCATAACCCTCGTGGGAAAGAAACAAATACACCAAGATGGACTTTTAAGGCCTGGATAGGGTAATACCTAAGACCAAGCTCTTGAACTTATTGAAATTGCACTAAGATAGGAATCGGAGTAAGATGTGGTGAGATTGAAATAGGTCAGTGTGTTCATCATTTTCTAGTTATCAACATTGATGCATGCGCACGTAGCCTCCAAAAAATAAGGCGCTCTGTTTTACACTTAGCGCTTAAGTTCCTGAAGGCTCCTTGTGTTCTAGTTTGCTTTGTGCCTTTAAACACTCTGGGATAAATGGTATGTTGTTCTGAATATTGCAGAAACAGTAAAAAAAAAATGCTTGTGCATATTCTCTCTAGAAACCAGAAAGATTATCAAAGTGCCCGAAAATAAACCAATAACAAAAATAGCTTTGCCTATTTTGCATCGCTACATTCTCTGCCATTTGATTTACTCTTTTTCTTGGTGCATGCTAATTAAATACTTCTCCTAGTAATAATGAAGTTTCAACCAACTTAACGAGAAATTTTTTGAGCAAAGTTTAATGGCAACGAAGATCCTTTTGTGTTGATACTCGTGTGTAAACAAAGAATTCTTTGATTAGATTCTTATGATGTTGAGTTTGAAAGGAGTTGCTCTACTTATTTGTATGAGCAACAATTTACAGCTGTTTAATAATACTCATATCTACACACAGTGAAGCTGTAGTTGTGAGGAAATGTACTTCTTTGTCCATGATGAGCACCTTAAAAGTATAGTTTTTGCTACATACACATGTTATAGTAATAAGGTAAACTAGAACGAGAGGATTTCCAGAAAGACTTTGAGGATAGTAAACAGGGGACTATAGCCCTCAGCAATTGAGAGGAAAAACATAACTTTGAAGGAGGAGTCTAACCTATTTTATGCTTATGGAGGAACAATTCCCTCGTCTAAGAATTGGCACTCTTGTACTTGGGTGCTGTTTAATTGGCTTAATGTATATTTGGTTTGTGTTCTTGTGTGTGTATTAGATGTCTATTTAATTTCTAAATGGAATAAATTCATAATTAAGGTTAACTCTTTTATGTGGATCTCTTTTCACGTCCATTACTGTATTATTTTTTTAAGTCTGAAAATTGCTTTTTTGGTAGTATTCTCCAACAAGAAATGCGGTTGCAAATTTGTTAGCTTCATCTGGCTTTGAATTGACCGGTGAAGATGCTTCTTATCTCCGAGGACGACCACGGCTATTTGGTACACCTGTGTCATTTGCTTAATCATAAAACTTTATCTCATTTTTTCATTTACTTTCTGTGTGTGTTTTTCTGATGCTTCCTTTGTACCTGAAATTTCATTAATTCGCAAGTGGTGGAGTTCATCTATGACATTTGTTATTTATCTGCCTGCTTTTTTTAATGTTCTTGGTAACTAAACAGACGAGCTATGTTCCCGAGTGAAGAATTTTTTCCCAGATGGGATGCCATTGCTAGATTCATTTGAGAGAGTGGTATGAATAACTTGTGGACCATTCTTGCAGTTTCCTTGCTGAAGTAAATTATATTACTTTTCTTTCTTGAAATAATTGTTTTTGCTCGAGGTAAATCATATGTTATGATAGTTATGCAAGAGGTTAATTCCTAATGCATGCAGGTTTACCTTTTTTTGATGTTAAACAGTTGAGATGTTCAATTTGTAAAAATGAATATCCGTTGATGAAATGAAAGATAAAAAAATTTTCAATATATTCTTTTATCTCTGAAATTCATGTAAACTGTCATTTCATGCACCGGAACCTTGTACCTTGGATTTTATCTGTAAGATCAATGTGCTTAACTTGAGCAAAATTGATTTATCTTTTTACTTTTGAGCAGGCTGATATTGGATGGTGTGAAACTGATTCAGAGTATGATGAGCTGCTTCCACTACACAAAGCAGTTGATAGATTAAGGTACAATGTATAGGCCCTCTCCATCACATTTTGCACTTTCTATATACTTTTGGAATGGGAACCAGGAAGGGCAGTTATCTTTTATGCTTCTTCTCTCCATCTCACACACATGTTCACATGTCGATGCACTTAATGGCTTTACCGTGGCCTTCTCTTTTTATTTTTGTAGGTCTGATATAATTACTAGCCATTGGAAACAAAATGAATCGATATTTGAGTTGATTATTGTGCTTTGCCTTCCTGAAATGGTTTGTTCCTCTATTTAAGTCTGATTTTGACCGTTGATCTTTTTCACACAAGGATATTGCATAAGATTGCTTATTTGGTTACTCCTGTGGCAGAAAGAACGATTGGAGGCTGTTGATTTGTTTGCGCAGAAAGTAGATAAGATTAATCAATTAGCCTGTTTCTATGCTAAGGAGGGCAAACTCATTGAGTTGGCCATCATATTTATCATATCTTGGGAAAAGGCCATGGATCCAATCAAGCTTAAGATTAATGGTGATAGTTCTGAGAGGTCTATGACATTTCGACAGTTCATCAACAGTGAAATGGCACAAGCAATTGATCTAGGGTACCGACTAATAGGAAGAATAACAAAAGAAGAAGAAGAATTAAGTAAGTTCTGTAAGCAACGGAAGGAGGCAATGATATCTGCACTTCCCCTAGTGGGAATTTTTGAGAAAGCTGGTGTTAACCTGCGAGCATATTTTCAGTTGGAGAAAAACATGGTAAGATTGCTATTATAAGTCTATTCATTTGGTTTGATTCTGCCTGCATGAAGTTTTCAATTATTTAAGGAAGCCTCTGCTACTGTGTCTAAATGAACTGTTTAGTATTCTTGATTGGGTAGGTTTCCTCAAGGATTCTTTCAGTTATTGCTTTTTGCAATTTGTGCTTGTTGAGATGTGCTAAGAGCTTTTGAAGTCTGTCTTCATTAATTACTGATTGCCATGTGGTGTTAAATGATTCTTTGATTTCTTGTACTGATACGCCCTTTAATACAGGTGCGAAAAGAACAGGTCGTTGAAGATGTGATGGAGCTTCTTGCAAAAGTAGGCTATAAAGTCAAGTCTGAGGACATTAAAATAGGAGATGAAGTTGATAGGTATGTTTTTGCTTTTTTGGACCCAAATTTAAGTTGACCTCTCTCTTTTTCTTAACTGTATTAGTTAATAGCTGCCGAAGTATTGAATGGAATGAATGCTTAAATAACCATGAAAAAAAAAGGCGATTTGTGCATACCACTTTTTGCTTGACCTTTTTCTTCTTCTTAACTGTATTGGTTTATAGCTGTCCAAGCATTGAACGGAATGAATGCTAAAAGCAGGGGTAATTTGTGCACCCTTTTTCTTCTCCGTTATGAGGGAAGGGCAAATAGATGTTCTAGGGGATGGGTTGGGAATCATAATACAATGTCAAATATTCTTAGGCTGATTTTTTTTTTTTTTTTTTTTTTATCTTTTTCGTGCCTGCCAAAGTTCGATGGAGTTGCCCTTGGAAGGAAAGGGTGGGGCAGTACAAGAGCTAAAGAAAATTGCTGGTATTGTATATCCTTCTCTCTCTTTCTCTTTGTGCTTCATTTTTCTTTCTCTTTTTCTAAAAAGAACTTGGTATAATTGTTTGGTCAAGCACCAAACTTTAATTATAGGAGGTTGAGAAAGTCTAATAGGCCATGCAGGAATATAAGATCCCTTTTTCTTTTGGGTGCAATTTTTTACTTTATGCAGTAACCACTACAATTAGCGGATTCCAGCGGCAAGATTTTACAAGGCCTGCGTATGTGCTACCATGTGGTTTTGTTGAGGTGGTTAATTTTTTTCATCCCGTGCTTACTTTGCAAGAATTTGTTGTTTGAATTCCTTTGTTCTTGTAGTAAATTAGTAATTGGGCATATAGCAGCATTCATCCTAAATGTTCCAAGCATCTGAATTTGGTCACCCAACTATTTTTTTTTCATTTTGGTCATTGGATTTTCTTAAGTTCCTCCTATTGCCTATTTCATCCATTTTGCTCCATTGGTTTTATTAAAAGGGGTGCCACTTCTGAAGTTTCTATTTGTTTGCGGAGCATATATATCACGTTCCTTGCACACTCTCATCAACATAATTATCCCTTAGTTCCCTAAGTTATGATTGACTAAATGGTAGGTAGATAAAAAACAAAAGTGAGATTTCTGATTCAGATATATTACCAAACTTGAGAGTTTGAGGCTTAAATGCAACTTAACCAGGAATTGTTCAGAGAGAAAACCTTAGCTTCTCAACTTTTTTGTATTCCAAAGTTAGACTTCAGGCAAGTGTGCCAGTTGTTTTGGAGAGCAATGAGATGTCAGATCTTTCTAGTTCTTCCAGCTTTGTGACAACAAATGGACTATTATGTTTTTTGGACGCCTATAATATGCTTAATGTCGGCTTATTTCTTCTGCTTCGTCAAGTCATTCAAAAGTTAGTCAAAAGTTATCTCTTTTTCGTCATCTTTTTCATTGTTCTTTAATCTTGAATTCAGAGATGATTGTTGAAAGCTGGAAATGGACGGGGTAATTACATAAAACTGAAAAACCTTAATTGGCTCATTTTGTTTGAATTGGATCATCTGTACCTTTTGATTTAGAAGGAAATTTGATGCTCATGCTCTATTCATATTTCTTGGTTGTATATCGTCACATGCATGCCTTTCTTTCTTTTTCTTGCACCCATAAGGATGCTGCTGAAGTTAACGTGAATCTGCAAAAGCAACAACTCTCTGCAAAGTTGGTTGCTTGTGATAGATAGGAAGCATACATAGATAATCAAGAAAGTTTTTGGCTCTTGTTTACTGGCAGAATCATGAAAAAGTAAAAAACTTGTTTCCAAATGATTGGGATAACTGTTAAGTACCATATGTGAAAAATAAAGATCACAGCAAAGACCTGTATTTGTCTTTGGATTTTGAATTGCACTGATATAGGTGCCCTTTTGCCAACAGCAATCAGTTATACCGACAGAAACTCTACTGTGAATTAGGGTGCATTGCTTATAAGTGGATCCTTGCCGTTTGGAGTTGATCTTGAACTTTTAGTTTTCTTACCTGATTAGTGTATTATTCTGTGCTTTACATTTTCTTGTCAAGGATGTCCTAAAACTTGTTTTCGCCCTTCTGTTTTGCTTGCTTTAAACGTTCATGCTTTCTGCGTTATTTGACTTTACGTAGAACTAACATCATGCCTGATGAAAGGGTGCGTATGGTCGAGCCGATGATATTAGGAAATTTCTTTTCACACGATATACAAGGGAATGTTTTCGTTTGTCATCTGGTGTCCAGTCATTTCGTGCATTTTGGACATCAAATCCAAAAGCTGGCTACTGTTCTGGTTTTCCGATAGCGTTGAAGGTTCAAAAGAGAGATGTTGTTAGAGGGAATTGGCTCATGCAGAAATTTTCAGCCAGTAAGCAATTGAGCTCTGTTGCATTAGCAGCCAAGAGAGGAATTAAATATCTTTGATCAAGCGTGCTTTGCAAGGTAGAGAAATGTATTTCCCTGACTTAACTCTGTTCTTCCGATTGCCTTCTCTAGATTCCATTTCTGGATTCAGATTTTGGGTGCCATGCTCCCTTTTTTTTATTGTTTCAGTAATTGTAGCTCTCTATTACAAGCATACTGTATTTATTTATTTTCTGGGTAGTTTCTATGGGCCTATTCTTGTTGGCTTTAGCTTTTCTTAAAGCCGATGATGAAGTGATCAAGTGTAGCTTCTGCATTTGAATTTAGTTGCAATGAATTTTAAATTCTCAAACTACTAGATATAGCTGATAGATATGAGGAGGACAAACAACTTGTAAGATCTCTGCCACCAAACTGGTTATCAGATGACTAAAATTGAACAAAGAATCCCACTCAAAGTAAGAAAAAGATATTCTCAGTTACCATCCAACTATAGCACGAAATGGTATGTTCTCATAGTGTTAAAATCAGCTTGTTAGAGCTGCAATAAAAGGCATGATACTTTGGTTGTTCTCGTTTTCCTTTGACTTGCTCTTAGCTAATATAATTTTGTGAGAAGCTTAACTTAGAAAGCAGCACTTGAGGTGCATTGGAAAACTTTTGGATAGCAGATTTTGCAAACTTATTTCTCCAGTCATAATTTTAGCAGGTTAAGGATTCTTCTGATATTATGAAGCTCCAAAGTGATCAGTGTTCAAGGATGAAAACTCTGTGCAAAGCTTTTTTTTTTTTTTTTTGGTTTTTGTGTGGGGGGGGGGGGGGGGGGGGATGCTTCTCTGTGGATAGTATGATGGCAACCATCTCTAGGTGTAATGGCATGAGTTCTAGATCTGGTTCTAGATATTGGTTTATATCAAAGTCAATTTTCTTTCTTGCTCACAAACACCTCAACTAAGTGCAAGTACCCTCCTCCATGTGTTTGAACTTGTCAAGAGATGTGGACAAGGAACTATTAACATAAAAACTTACAAAGTGAACAATTGCTTTAGTGAAAATCATTCTTCTTGCTTATGAGTTTAGTGTGTCGATGTTACTGGATATTTTAGAAAAAAGGGCGCCATCCCCTCCTGTTTTAAGCTTAGATCAATTAGTATTCATCTTTCTGGGAAACTGTTTAAGAAGTTAGTGCATCAGCTTCTTAGACTTCTGCTAAAGTTTGCAGATGGTATTGAATTTTGAATAGATGGTGTGTAAAGTTGGTTGCTAGTTGCTACTTACAGATTACGTTGATTACGTTATAGAGCTCTCCGGTACTTTGGGATATCCCTTCGGATGTTTCTGCTTGTGTATGAAAGTAAAATGAACCTTTTGAGGAATTAATGTTAATGCAAAATGCGGAAGACGAACAAAAAGCATGTCGGTCTACCTTTTGCTTCCGGGAAAGCACAGCATTGGGGTCAAGATGGCAAATTCTCGTTCCTTTAGTTTCTTTTCTAATACATTGGTTAATTGCTGTCCAAGCAAGGATGGATAAAGATTTTATTCCTTTTTCGCTTCCAATGCCTTCGATTTTAATGGCATCCGGAATGATCCGGATCTTTAATTTTAAAGATTTTATTCCTTTTTCGCTTTCTTATTATAACTTTATCGTCTGTACCGGATCCTTTCCTCATTTTTGTATTCAATGACATCATTCAGTGATGGAAGTAGTCCGGATATTAAATAATTGTTGTTGCTATAATGTAGTCCATCATTATAGTCCAATCTTGCCAAAAATGTGCGGAATTTTTATTTCCAGGGGAAACTTCCTTGACTGAGGATCTGTTTGATGAAATTGAAGTATGAAATTTGAATTCTAAATTTTGAAAATTTAAGTGTTGAAACTATCAAGTCACTGAATTGATTAAGTTATATCTGTTTAATAACAAACTGAATTAGTGTTGAATTGAAATATCGTAAAAATATTATATTTTTATCTTCAAAAAAAATTGCCTTTATTTGTATATTTAGAAAGAGAGAGAGATGGAGATGAGTGTGTATACGTGTGTTTGAGAGAGAGAGAAAATAATAAAATAATTTAGAGATGGTGTTTATTTTACATGTGCGTATTTGCGTGGAAGGGTGTATATTTGCATGCATGTGTGTGAACAGAACGAGAACAAATGTCTACTTTGTGCAAGAGCATATATAAAAATGTGTTACATTTATGTGAGTAGCATGCGCAGTTAATTTAGAAAATTGAGTGAAAAAATTACTCTGAAAAGTTTGTATACAAATTAAGCAATGCTTAATACATTAAACGGTAAGGCGTTTCTGTATCAAAAATATTTAATTCAAAAAATTATGAATAAATTAATTTTCAACATGAAGTGGAGTTGTCAAGCGAGGTCTAAGGGTACGTTTGATAAAATTGATGATCGAATTTGACCAAGTTTATTGGGATGCTTTCGCTGATGCGCCTATTTGTAGCATGTAAAACATTTTAGCTATCAAAGCACATTACATGTTAGGGAACAGTAAAAACAGATTGCAAAAGCATAACATGCAAAATTTGTTGAAAAGAATAGAAAAGGACGTAGCAAAAGACCTGAATTTTTTTAGAATATATAACGTACAAGCAATCATCAACCAAAGGAATAACAAATTGAAAAAATGCTAAAACTTTTTGAAAATTAAAGAATAAGCAGAGAACTCACTGCCAAACATGATTACGTACACCTAGAATTCAACCATTTCTTGACTAAGTTTCAAACCTAAATATGTTAATCACAGTCGTTTTATATATAGTTGCTTCCGTTTTCGTTTGAATGTAGTAGTTCACCTATCCCATGGTTTGCAGACAAAATCGACACTATTTTCACACCAAAAAATGCAATGTAAAAAGAAAAAAATAAGTAGAAAGGAAAAGAATGTCAGACATAGCAACATAATTATATGATTGTCATACCTGTCGAAACAGCATTGCTCTGGCCAAAAGCTGAGAACAAGTTTGGAATCTTCAGGTTCCAAATTTTGGACGCTCGTCTTGGAAATAAAGGATTTGGAGTCGCAAGACTGTTGTCAGGATTGCTCAACTTGAAGACCTCTAGTCCATTGAGGAGTCCAAAAACCAACTCATCCACTGATTGTAGGGAAATCAAGAGATCATAATTCCTGACTTCTTTCTCTCCTTTCACCATCACCAAATAGTCCCTGTATACTGGGATCTCAGTGCCGCCACTCCATCCGATCAAGTCAGCCTTATTCTCAGCTACGCGATTATTTATGTGGATGGTGAATTCCCTTTGCCTGCTTTCTGCCATACCAGCATCGAAGTCGCAGAAATGAAGCCTGACTAAGTATCCAAAGCCTAGATCTATAGGTATTTTCCATGTAAACTTGAAAATCTCATTTCCTCTTTTACCTCTTCCAATTTTCCAAGCAGTGTGGTAAAGCCTTGGTGGAGGAACAAATGCTGGCATGTTTGTGTACTTAATCCTGTTAGTCAGATGACTCACTCGATGAACTCCGGATTCCTGCAAGTATTTAGAATCCTCACTCCATCTTCGAAACATGCCAAAATCTTCTATTGGTGAGATAGAGCTCCCTCCAATATTCAACCTTTGGACCACTTCAAGTGCAGTGGTGTTTTCGATAATATAGAACCGATTGTTCAGACCAACCATGCGGGCACCTAAATCACCAACAGACGTGTAATAGAGACCGGCGGGTATGGAAATTATCTCAATTCCATTGACGAAAGCGTGTACTTTCTTTAACTTGCTGCTCTTAGAGGGAGAGAACGTTACGTTCAATTTTGCATTTACTTCTACATTCAAACAAAAGTCCTTGACAACATATTTTTCACCAGAACCATCAGCAGTAAGTGAAGCACTGAAGTCCCTTAGGAGGGTGAAAGGACCAGCTTTTACAGTGAAAAGGTCCAGAGAATTTTCAAAACCGCGGTAAGAAGCAGGGTAAAAGTGCAGGCGCAAGAATATCTGACCTGGGGTGACCCGAAAGGTGTACTGGAATGGAGTTGCAGAAATTCTTGAAGTTATGTACGGAACACCGTCGACGGAGGATAATTTGTCAACAGCAGTTGAGCTCCTTGTTTTGCCTCTTGGTTGCAGTGAAGACATCAAGTCTGAGCCCGTATCTCCAATCCATTCACGCCCATCAAGCGCCGTTGAGTTGCCAATAGACCCACAGTCAAACAGCAACATCGCCCAAGTAATGCGGCTCTGCTGGGGGATTTCCGGCACTAAAAAAGGCGACCATAGACTGATCAGGACGGAGTAAGATGCACGAAAATAGAATGACTAATAGAAGTGGCTTCAGATACATGATGGTTTCTTGATGGAGGGAAACAGGCAAGAATTGTCGCTCTCTTTTTCTCGGGCAACTAATTGGCAATGCAATCCAATCCAGGTGGTGACGGTGGTTTTGCCGAGAATAAACCGTGGATGGAAAAGCTAGCTGCTATTCTCAGCGTCTTGGATTGGATGTCTTGTTTGGTTACATTTTCCTTTGGTTTAGACTAATTAATTAATAGGAAACTCTACCACCATCAGGCATCAACCAAACAAGAGCAGCCGCTAGTGCCATCGTAGACTCACGGGTTGGCTTTCGTTGACTTCAAAGTCGCCGATTTATATATATATATATCATAGCCGCAGGATGCTATTAAAAGGAATCTTAAGAAATGTCCATCGAGAATACCAACTGACTTTTGCTTTAATTTGAATGTGGAAAATATTAAAAACATCTATGATTGGTTAAGAAAAACATTTATAATTGGTTAGATCGTATAATGTTTAATCTGGAATTCAAAGAAAATAAATGTCTGATGAACCATGTGTATCTTATTATATTAGATGGCTAAATAGGAGGGTACACGACAATCTGCAAAATATACGAGGGTTCACTCTGCCCACAACTTCGTATATTGAACAAGATAGATTTTGTTCGACAACTGGGAAGTGGGAAACCAGAAGCTAGGAAAGGTTATTGTTCATGGCTCTCTATCTTCCTTCGATGTCTGTTAAACTGAAATCATTATCAGAACTCGGTATAATAGTCTGGAGAGATGAGCTTCTTGATAGACCCCGTGCTGTAATATAAGACGGAAACTTGGGCCGACGAAGCTCTGCAATTTCATCATCATTAAGCATTGAAAGAACAGTAGAGACATTCGGCCTATCTTCTGGAGACTCTTGCACACACAATAAACCAACATGTACGTATCTCAATATCTCCGTTTCAGTGGGTGGAACAAGCACCGCTGGATCAACCAAATTCATTGGTTTATTTTCATTCCACAGCCTCCAGGCCTGCAAATGTTGTGAATGTATTGAATGTGATATATAAATAGAAGTGGAACTGGACTTCTTCAAGAGAAAATTCACAACCAAGTAAACTTACATATCTTATTAAGTCACGAGGCGGCCAATTTCTCTTTCCACTTACAATCTCCAGTAACAAGACTCCATAGCTGTAGATATCTGTCTTTTCAGAAACTTTTCCCTGACTCAAACATTCTGGGGCCATATATCCACTGCATCACAGCAAGTAAAGATAAAGAGGTGAAATTTATTTTCCAAGAAAAGCGTTTGAATCATCAGGAAAAGTGACGGGAGAAGGAATTAATGTTTGCTTACATTGTCCCTGCAACCCTGTGGGTCACATGCTCGTCTTGGTCGCCTCCTAGAATTTTGGCTAGGCTGAAATTTGATATTTTTGGATTCAGCCCGTTGTCTAAGAGGACGTGACTTGCTTTCAGATCTCTATGAATTATCCTCTGTCTTGAATCCCCCCGGTGAAGGTAAAGGAGGGCTCTGCCAATCCCTTGGACGATGATTGCACGTCTACTCCAATCAAGTTCTTGTGAATCTGACAAAGAGTCACAGTGAATTATAGTGCCATACCTATTCAAACTAATTCTCTGAACTTAATAATTATGCGAATAAAAGAGAATAAAGACAAAAAAAAAATGAATAAATAAACTTGTTTTCAAACGCACCAAATAAGTAGGCCTCCAGGCTTTTATTTGGCATGTACTCATAAACTAGCATTTTTTCTTCCTCTCTTTCAGCACAGCATCCGAGCAGTCTAACAATATTTGGATGTTGCAGTTTAGAAGCAACTGCAACTTCATTCTTAAACTCTCCAAGTATATGACGGTTTGAGATCCTTTTCACTGCAATCTCCTGACCATTTGATAGAATTCCCTGCAGATACAGTTTAGTAATATGATTAGTAACCAGTTTCCCGTACACAATACACGCAGTTCCTGAGTAATTTGTAGTACCTTGTAGACTCGGCCACAAAAAGCTTCGCCTATCATATTCCCTGTATGAAAATGATCTGTTGCATTAGCCAGTGCCTTGTAACTGTAAAGCGGCAGCACTCCAGCTAGTGATGACATTTCACCCTTTTGCTTTTTCCCTGATTTGATTATGAACGAAATCTACGTGAGTTAAAGTTCTATTAAGAATGCCATCGTCACAAAATTTCAGGATGAATTTAAATGAGATGCTTAGTAACAACTGACTTATATAACATCGTTGTTCTTGAAGGCTAGTTCACCTTTTTTCTCCATCCTAATTACGTTACTATCATTAAAATATAAAAATGATACTACCAGTTCTACGAGAATGCAAAAGTTAAGTGCATGACTTGCATAACCTTTCATAATTAAAGTACTAACAAAATAACTAATGTCAAACCGTAACATTTAACAATGCAAAATTCAACAGATCACATCATATAAGCACACGTGCTGAACGCTTCAGCAGAAAATTATGCTACAAATCTGAACGGAATTTTAAGACTTCTAACCATAATAAGAATGCTGAGCTGTGTTTGGCTTGCCAAAGTTCTAATCAAGGACATTGAATGGACATCGGTCGAAATCATGGTTTATGTGCAAGAATCAAGAATGTAAGCAGAGGATATCAGTCAAAATCATGGTTTATGTGTAAGAATGTAGTTAGTTGCATCAAACTCATATTATGCGTGATTTACTAATCAAAAAGAATGCAGATGTGAACAAGCGGATACTGAATAGATATGGAGTTTTAACACTTTGTCTATGATAGTAAGACCATGAAATGAGAAAGCTAGGACTAGATTGTTCATCAAATGTCTGGCTAGGTCCACATTTATTTGGTTGTTCATCAATTAAGGTATGTTGCAATACAAAACCTTCTCTGTTCATAGGCTTACCTCTATTAAGCACTGCTTTCCATGGCCAGCCCCATAACAATTTTCGGGCTGGAGGATAGCCTTGTCCTCTAGTAGGTGAGCCAAGAAATTCAGCTGATGTACTTGTGATTCCTTCGGTCGGTGGAGATTGGGCACTCTCAAGTACTTGCAGTGACTCGAGAGTTCCTTCCTGGAAAGGATGCCCAACTACCCTGGCACTTGACGCAGAAATCATGGTGCTCTCCTGCTGCTGCAACGCCTGCTCGAGACTCACCACCACTTGAGCCATTGTAGGTCTTTTCTTGGGCTGGTGGTGCAAGCAGTTTTCAATAGATTTCACAATTTCTTTTAAACTGTTTGATGAGGACTTCCCCTGTAGACTAGGATCAACAATTCTATCCACGTTTTCTTCTGCAATACATTCACGGAAATATGATACAAGATTGTGCTGTTCTTCTGGAGTTCCATTGTCCACTGCAGGCCTCCCTGCCAAAACTACCAACAAGACAACCCCAAAGGCATATACATCACTCTTTCTCGTCAATCTATGAGTTGCAATATAGTCTGGATCACAAAATCCAGGAGTGCCTTTAACTTTTGTGCTAACATAGCTCTTCGATTGGGTTAACCTTTCAAGTTTGGACAGTCCGAAATCGGAAATCTTTGCCACAAAATTCTCGTCCAACAGAATGTTTGAATCCTTCACATCGCGGTGTATGACTCCATATTCAGTGCCATTGTGGAGGTATTCCAGTCCACGAGCAGCACCAATGCAGATTCTAAGCCTTTGCTCCCAACTAAGAGGAGCAATATCATTTCCCTTTCTGCTCATTTTGTAGAGATTATCAGCAAGTGTGCCACGAGGGATATACTCATAAACTAGGATCATCTCCTGGCTCTCATTGCAATAGCCGATCAAAGAGACAAGATGAATGTGCCGGAGCTTGGAAAGTGTTTCAATTTCAGTCCAAAACTCATGAGCTCCTTGTCGGGAGCTCCAATGCAATCTTTTCAAGGCAACAATTTCTTGAATGGCAGGGATGTAAGCTTTATACACTTTGCCAAATCCCCCCCTTCCAATAACAAATGCATCGCTAAAGTTTTGTGTTGCCGAAACTATCTCAGCGAGTGAGAAGCAACGACAAGCCGGCTCAGTTGTGGCCGCCACTGTGTCATTTTCCAGGCAAAATTTTGCTTCCCAAATTCTTGTCAAGTGGTACACCAGGACATTGACTAAAATAACGAGGAGTGTCATACCAGTCGTGACAACATTGCTATGGCCAAAAGCTAAAAACATGTTTCTAATCTTCACGCCTGAAGGGGTAGAAACTGTCATTGGAGTTACAGGATTTGAAATTGCTAGACTGTTGTCGAAGTTGCTCAACTTGAAGATCTCTAGTCCATTAAGGAGTCCAAAAACCAATTCATTAGCTGATTGTAGGGCAATCAAGAGATCGCAACTTCTACCACTTTGGTCACCTTTCATTTTGACCATGTAATCCCTGTATACTGGAACCCCATGGCCGCCACTCCATCTAATCACATCAGCCTTTGTCTCTGCTATCTGATTATTTATAAGGAGACTGAATTCCCTTAACTCACGCTGTGCCATTTCATCATCAAGATCACAGAAGTGAAGCCTTATTAAGTATCCAAAGCCCAATTCTACGGGTATTTTCCATGTAAAGTTATATATCTGGTCTCCTTTCAAGTTTCCTCCGGTTTTCCAAGAGGTCTGGTAAAGTTTTGCCGGGGCAACAAATGCTGGCATGTTTGTAGTATATTTAATCCTAAGTGCTGGATGATGGACTCGATGAGCTCCGGATTCTACCAGGTACTTAGTGTCCTCATTCCATCTTCGAAACATTCCAAAATCTTCTGCCGATGACACAGAGCTCCCTCCAATGTTCAACCTCTGTATGACTTCAAGTGCAGTGCTATTGTCAATACTAAAGAATCGATTTTTCTGACCAACTATACGGGCTTCTGAGTCACGATCAGAGGTGTAATAAAGTCCAGCTGGCATTGAAATGATCTCAATGCCATTTACAAAAGCATGTGTACTTTTTGACTTGCTATTCAGATTCAGAGAAGGAGAAAAAGTTATGTTCAATTTTGTATTTTCTTCTACATTCAGACAGAACTCCTTAATAAGGTACTTGACACCTGAAGTTTCAGCAGTAATTGAGGCACTGAAATCCCTGAGGAGGGTAAAAGGGCCAGCTTTGACAGTGAAAGAATCTACAGAATTTTCAAAACCGCGATATAAGGCAGGGTAAAGATGCAGGCGAATGAATTTCTGACCTGGGCTGACTTCAAATGAATAGCCGAATTCAGTTGCAGAGACTCTTGAAGACTTGTACGGAACAGGGTCAATTGGGAATGGTTTTTCAGCTGCAGTTGAGATT